TATGAGACAGCACAGCTGATAAGCCAACAGGGCTAGCATCTGTGGCAAGTATCACGGGTAAGTCTGGGTTGTATGGAGTAAGGACTGTGTCACTTGCTATCTCTTCTTTAACACAAGTAAAAGCTTTTTCACATTCCTGGGACCAGTGAAAACGTTTTTCTTTCCTTAGAAGCTGATGTAAGGGATTTAGCAGTGTAGATGCATCTTTGATGAACTTTGAATAGTACTGTACTAGTCCAAGGAATTGACGCACTCCTGTGATATTTGTTGGACGGGGAGCATCCTGGATTGCCCTCACCTTTTCTGGTGATTTCTGGATAGTCATAGTCATAGTCATAGTCAAAGTTCTTTATTCATTTTTTGTACATAGTTTGTACAGTAAATAGCGTCATATATATAATACAATACTAAATCTAATTAAAATCTACTATTTACAGTTAACCAAGCAAAAATGAAAAGTAATAACAAAAATATTTATATCTACAGTAGGTTATATCTGGGAGGTGGAAAATTCTTCTATGGAGTAAGGGGCCAGTTGTATTAAATACTCTTTCAGCAATTTCCTGAACTTATTTAAATTATTTTCTCTTCTTATGTTTTCTGGAATATATTTAAGAAAAGTATATCCTGTGTAGGTTGGTTTCTTTTCAAAAAACTTTAATCTATGTGGCAGGATAACCTCATTTCTCTTTCTAGTATTATACGAATGAGCTGGGGACTTAAAATTGATAGTTGTACAATTCTTTGCACTGAGAGTAGTTTCAATAATATATTGCCCGTAAACAGTTAAAATATTTAGATTTTTGAAATGTTCTTTTGCTGGTGCATCATACTCTAACTTAAGCATGATCCTGATTGCTCGTTTTTGCTGTTTTAATATTTTTTCCAAATTTAAATTTTTTGTTGAACCATACAGCGCTATGCAGAACAATATATGAGAGTGAACATGGGCGAAATAAATATTTTTTAATGTTTTCAGATCACAGTAATAAGACATTTTAGATAATGCGTGAATTCCTGAATTAATTTTGCCCAAAATTTTATGCACGTGTTCGTCCCAACTCAGATTTTGATCTACTGTCAGACCCAAAAAATTTATACTTTTTTCGTGTTCAATGTTATGGTTATCATGTATTATTAAAGGTTCTAGTAGTATTTTACTTTGAGCTGTCTTGAACATTACAAATTTAGTTTTTTGTGGATTTAAAAGTAAATTGTGATTTCTCAAATAGTTTCCAAGGTTTTCCAATTCAATGTAAGAACACACTTCAGTTTCTTCTTGTGAGGCAGTTGATAAAACGAGATTTGAATCATCAGCGTAAAGACACAACTTACTATTCAGCTTATAGATTAATGCGCTGTTTACTCCTCTCAGGTAGCAAAGAAAAAGCAAAGGCCCAAGAATTGATCCTTGAGGTACTCCAAACCTGATTGGCTTACAATTTGATGATATTTTAGTAATTTTATTATATTTAGTTAAGTGGGAAATTTCTACATACTGAGATCTATCATGGAGGTAAGAACTGAACCAATTTAAAGCATACCGTCTTTGCTGATGATATGACCCAGATACTGCACCTTTCTCTCAAAAATCTTGCATTTTTCAACATTCACATGTAGATTGTGTTGTTCCAATTTTTCTAAGACCTTTATGAGCCTGGATTTGCATTCTTCAAAAGTGCAGCCTTGTACAACAATATCATCAAAATAAGCCACTGTCCCTTCAAGATTTTGTACGACTTGGTCAATAAATTTATAAAATTCATTTGGGGCAGTCTTAATTCCGAAAAATAGTCTTTTTGCTAGATATGTACCCTTATGTGTGGTAATTGTCTGGATTTTAGAACTTTCAGAGTCCACTGAAAGATGTAAATAAGCCTTGTAAATGTCTAAAGTGCAAAAATAGTTTCCATTTCTCATTTTGTTAAGGATATCCTCTATTCTTGGTATTGGATAACGACTGTCATGTAGTTGTTGGTTCACAGTTACCTTGTAATCCGCGCAAATACGGACCGCTCCATTTGCTTTTGGAATCACAACAATCGGTGTTCCCCACTCAGATTGATCCACTTTCTCTATTACGTCTTCTTTTTCAAGTTTATCTAGTTCATTCTCAACAGCTTCTCGAAGAGCATGAGGTACTGGTCTGGGTTTTAAGTACACAGGTCTTGAATTATCCTTTAGTTTTAAAGAGCATGTAAAGTTGGGTGTTTTACCAATGCATTGTTCAAAAACGCTTGAGAATCTTTGCTTGATAGATTTGACAACAGTGTTGGTATCAACCTCTGGTTTCTTCATATTAACAAGATTAATATTGTGTAAGTTAATTTTCAATTTTCGAATCCAATCCCTTCCAAGAATAGCGTTTTTAGGTAGATTTACAATGTATAGATCCTCTCTGCAAGATCTCCCTTCGTAAGATATGCTTAGGGTACAGACCCCGATTGGTTTGAAAATTTGTCCAGTATAAGATCGAAAAAGAGCACTTGTTTTGCTAACTGGAACACGTAAGTCTAGTTTCTTGAAGTCATCATTATTTATTATGCTAACACGACTTCCGGAATCACACTCAAAACGTTGCTGTTTACCATTTAGAGATACGTTAATCATCATTCTGTCATCTCCTTCGTCATTCTTCAATACATTTATGATCCGTTGAACGTCGTATTCATATTCAGAATCAATTTCATCAACTCTTTTTACATTTTTCTCTGAAGACTGTAATTCCTGTATTCGTTTCGCTATGCAAACCTTTTCTATGTGTCCATCTTTATGACAATACCTGCAATTTAGTTCATCTATTAATCGGCAATTTTGTGTTTCGTGGTTATTCCTTCCACAGTGCAAACAGACATCTAAAAGTCCCAGTCTTTGTAGCCTTTTGTTTTTCCCGTCTTTCTTTTTGCTTGAGTCATTAGAGAAATGGTTTTTGGTTGAGAAACTTTTATTCTTAGGACCGATATTGTTCTTTGTTGTTTTACTTATTTTATGAATGTCATTCTGGTTATTACTAGTATATAAAATCTGGTTGTCAAGTTTTGATGCCTCTATAGCCAAGGCGATTTCTAAGGCTTTGTCAAATGATATTTCCCCCAGTTGTAAGAGTTTTTCTCTGATGTCCGAGTCATATAAGCCTCTGATGAATTGAGCCCTGAGCATGAGGTTTATAACTGATTTTGTACATTTTCCTTCTTTACACCCAGATTTGAAATCTGCTGAACAAGCCAGTTGTTTGAGGACTGTGACATAATTTGTGATTGATTCATTTCCATCTTGTAAACGGGATAAGAATTTGTGCTGTTCTGTAAGTATGTTCTTCTTTGGGCTTAGGTGCTCATTTATTAATATCAGTAATTCTTGATATGTTTTTGAGTCTGGTTTGTCTGGAGATGTTAGACTGCAGATCAGATTGTAGTGCTTAGCACCTAAGCAATTGATTAAAAATAAACCTTTCAATTGTTCAGTCTCTGAATCATTGTCTGTCAATCCTTTTATTTTAAAAAATATTTCTAAACGCTGAGTGTAGCTTTCAAACGTTTCCTTACTTTCATCATAAGCATCAAACATCAAGGCATTGCTCTGTAGTAGTTCCTTGGTACTATGTTTTGATCTAGGCTGTTCTGTCTGTTGACTTGTATGTTGTGTCATTAATGTCATAAAACTATTCAAAGTAGATATAATGTATTTCAGTCATTTTCTTCCTCGTCGCCAAATTATTAGATATAAAAATAATACAAAATATATGAACACAACTCTTGATACATGTTTATTTCTTAATAATAAATGTAAACATTGAATTATTTACAATATGAAATTATTCCAGTCATATGATCAATATTAAATAAAAGATAGATATTTGGAATATATAACAATTTCCAAAGAAATTAATTCATGGTAGTTTGTGTCTTGTAAATGTTGTATTGGATCTTAGAAATATCTTTTTTGAAACTCAATCTAACTTAAGAAAAAAATAATTTTACTGATAAAAACTTTCATAAAGTTATAAAATATTTAGGCCTAACCTCTTTGTAGACTTGCTGATACTTGATACTTAAAAAAAAAATTAAATGGTGACCATACAAGCCGAACCAGACGATCAGAAGTGTTGTTTTGTTTTGTTACTGAATGACAAAAAGGACACAGGAAAATAAAAGAACAAGATACAGATCTGTACACTATATCAGATATTTCTTTTGTTTATAATTTATTATGTAAATAAAATACTTAAATATATTTTAAACTAGGTATGGAATAAACAATAAATAATTAAACTGGTACCTCTGGATAAATAGTCTTTCTTTTGACTTCGTTTTCTTTGCACTGTTGCGTCACGGCTTTTGTTTTGTCAGTAGACGACTGGCTCTGGCTAGTGACAGTACGGCATTTGCTCTGTTGTGTCTTTATTCTTAAACGTGAGCAAACTTAATATTTAATTATAATTTTAACGTTTTAATTCCTCTGTAATAATATATATAAGAGTGTTTCTTTGAAAATTACTTATTATAACTTTGAAAATAATAATTTTTTTTTGGCCCGACCCGATCTTGGCCCGAAAAAATCTCTGACCCGACCCGGTCTCTCGGGCCTTCCGCTGGCCCGACCCGACCCGAAAAAATCGGGGACCCGCAGACCCCTACTTATAATTAACAAATTGGTCTAATTATCAGGATAGTACTGGGGATAGTCGTAGTACTTACTTACTGGTGCGGACGTTAATCCACACCAGGGAGGGGGGGGCATCCACAGTGCATGCCTATAAATATCCATAATTCGAAATACATCTATAATTAAAATTTTACAGTACAATATTGATAGTAGAATTTTGAGATAACAGGAGGTAGTAAAAAAGGAAGGTTCTAATTTTAAAGGTCTGCGTATGACAATCTTACATCCTACTATCAGATGCACCATGTTAATGTGTTCTAGAAAATCAATATTGGAAGCAACATTAAACATTTGAATATCACTTAAACCGGATTACCAGCAATTTTTTAGTCTACCTTAGGTAAGCAGAGTGTTCGGAGGGATTTGATCTGGTGGGCTCGAAGCCTATCCTCCTTGTCTGAATCTGCCAGCCATCCACCTTGTGGAAACAGAAGCACGTTGTACAGCTGTTGCTTTACATTCTGAAAACAAAATACATACAAAGTAGAACCTTTGACTATCTTCAGTATCCAATAGTCAATTGTAGAACCTCTATAGGCCGGGCGTATGCTGAGACGCAGGTGACACAACGCACACATGCCAAGTTGTACAGCAAACATGTAAAGTTGCAGCAAATGCATGAAATATGCAGTTGTTAAGATAGAGTACTATAGTAGCAACTCCTCTGAGTCTGGAAATTAAATTTGTATATATATTGAATTTATTCTCCACTAAATGAGACTACATTGAACTTGTTTTTTTTTTTTTTGTTTTTTTTGTCAAATGTTAATGGCTTATTACAAAATAAATAGATATGCCAAATATAGTAAAAATATACCCCTTAACAAGCAGGCTACAACACTTTACTTATTCTATTTAGATTACTATGTACATTTAAATAGTAATGTTTCTTGCCCATTTCCCTAAAGGGAAGAAGCTATTTTTAAAGAATTTTCTTCCTAGTCCTAGAACCATTAAGTTAACAATAAAGCGTCAGCATAATAAACTATTTTTTTTTTCTAAATAAATATGATGTTTGCTTGTTATCGTCGTAAATTGTTTAGTTTTCAGTAGAAGACTATTTCATGGCAATGTATTCATGACCAAGACAAGAAGTGTTAAGCAGAAATAAGATGAACATTTGAGTGGGGTAACATGCCTAAAAAACTAGTCATTTTCTAAAATCTGTTGGAGTGACAACAAAAACAGGTAGCTACACCCTAACCTATTTATTATTTTATTTAGTATTAATTTTTAATCCTGGAGGCAAATAAAACGAGTAAATATTTGTTTAAGTTCTAAGAAAAGGTTTCAAAGGAAATTGCATAGGAGAGTCAATATAGGGAAATATTTTTCTAATTATAAAACCCAGTTCCTAAAGTCTCATTATGATTTTTCAGATCTTCGTGATTTAAGAACAAATTGATTTTGTCTCCAACAAAACATTTGTTTTTTGGTAGGCTAGATTGTTTTTTACTGTTCAATGCAGTTACGTATAAAGTTGTGTTATCAAGGTTGACGTCTCAAAACGATTTGTTATTTATAGAGGTTGTGAGTTACGTCGCAATTTAGAAAAAAAAAAGAGTTATCGAGGTTTGTTTTGATAATGGTTTTATAGAGTAAATGTAACAAAACACAGTAGGTGTTCTGGTGATTTAAAACTGAATTTGTAATCAAGATTGTGGCGTATTACCAATTGTCATGTAAACAACGTTTTACTGATTTTTTACAAATTGTTTTGATAGTGTCTTGTCCAGTTAACTATATAAACATGTTTAGTAATGGAAAAAAAGAGTGATTTAGGCCACTCAAACTTTGGCAATACCGTGACATATTGCTCACCATTTTGAAATAACGGAAAAGTCCTAACACGATTCAAGGATGCAAATAAATTACTTAAAAAACAACAACTAGCCATTTTTATACTTAGTCATCTAAAAGCTTAACCCTTAGAGTGCCAGGCAAAAAATATAATTAACGCTCAAAAAATGCCGATGATTTTTCCCGAAGGTCGCGCTAAAAATGCCGAGCGCGATCTGGCGATATTTAGGTTAAAATTTTGTAAAAATCGAATTTTCGATATTTCGACCAACGAAAATCGATGTATCGCATCTAGTAACTTTCGACTCAATGTTAATATATGGGTTAAAAGAATCCGAGTATCCATTCGGTTGTTATGACAACTGTTTGATCATTACGAAACGTCCGGTCAGCCGGACGTTGGCACTTTTGGCTCGTTCTAAAAACGTCCGGTCGGCCGGACGTCGGCACTTTTGGCTCGTTTTAAAAACGTCCGGTTCCCCGGACGTTGGCACTCAAAGGGTTAAAATGACTGTTCTACTTCATTAATTTTTAATGCTTAAAACATAATCATAAGAAAAACTATTTATATGCTAAGCAAAGAGTGGTTGGTTCTTATTTAAATATTTTTCTAAAACTGTGATCAAATTTCAGCAAACGATACAATGGTTAGCCATGTTACCTTGGTCTGGTGATCCATAGCTGCTCTCCAGCGGTCTAGGTCTTTGTGATATGCTGCTATTCGGTGATCATATGCTACCTTCTCTGTGAAGGTGGCGCTAGGGCCAGGACTGGGGGGCTCTACTGGCCTGGCGTGGTGATAGTGCTCAAACCAATCAGCAAACCCTTCCTGTGCGTCCTGTACAACAAGTAACAACCAAATATAAACATCTTGCCATTCTGTTACAGGGCCAACGGACACAAGGGTCGTCCCGGCATGGGAGGGGGCCTCTAAGGAAATTGTTTTCCTTGAAAAATTATTTTTATCATGAATCTGTTACCCAATTTTGGAGCCGAGCTTTTACTATCGGGAACACCAAACCATCGATGAAGATTGCGCAATCAAAAATCTCAATTTTGCCGCAACATCGACTGCGGGAGACAATGACAAAGTCTCCAAGACCTCATTGCCCACGATTTGTCCGAGACTACAGAAGATGTTCATGATGTTATCACGATCCCAGGAAGTGATGTCCCTGCGATCACGAAAAATGTCCACTTAATACACTATGAACGTTCACGATTCCTCTGTGACCACGGTAGATGTCCACACTTGTTGCGACCACAGGAGACGAAGATGATGTACCCGCGAAGGAGGCAAATTCATATGGTCTTGTCGTGATCGCATTTGATGTAGAAGATGTTTTTAAATTTGTGGTCAGCTTATCTTGGTAGCAGTTATAATTTTATTGTTATATAACTTATTTTATCCTTTAACAAAAAACAAATTTTTATAAACATTTTTTATTCTCTTACTTAAATAACAATAACAAACAGTATCAGCAATCTGACACATTCTTTCTCCCATTCGCTTGTCAACCACCTTTTATCATAGGTAAGCGATGAGAGTAACAAATGATATTTAAAATCATAAAGTTGCATTAAATTTTGAACCATTACTTTTACAGAAATGAGGGGTTGCACGATTTTGTTTGGAATTATAAGGACCATAACAAATAAATTTTAATCAAAACCGGGTTTTTTTAATCCATATTTTCTTTTTCTCGTGGGTTTTATGGGAAAAGTTAGAATACCTTTTGGCCCGCAATTTTTACAGGAATGGGAGTTCTACCATGTTCACAATTTAAAGTGCTACAACATGCTAAATTTCTATTAAAATCGTTCAGGCCATTTTCAAGAAAATTATATTTTTCCATTATTTTATGGGATTTTATGGGAAATCACCATTAAAAATCAAAATTTCAAAATAATGAAAAACCGCCTGGAGATACCATGTATTAGTACCTAGATACCAAATTTCATCAAATCTGACTGTAGATGTGGTCTGTAGCTCTCTCTGTATACTCATTCACACATAGATATACGCACACATACACAGATGGACATCACTTCAAAAACTACTTTATTGGGTTCAGAAGGGCCCAAAATGGATATAGGCTATATCTACTCCAAACTCAAACTCGAAATTTTTTTCAAAAACAAAACTATCCTCATATACTATGTATAGGGGGAGAAAGTAATAATATCCTAACATTACAAAATAAAATACCCCTGCCACAGCAAAGCTGCAGACTAAGGGAATTTCCATTTACCTGGCTGGATTTCAACTAAAATATTCCCTTAAAATTGTCAAATTTATTTTTTATTTAATTAACATTAATTTTTATGAGTTCAGTAGAACCCCTCATATCCGGCCACCGCGGGACCAAGCCCCTGGCCGGATAACTATTTGGCCGGATAAACCAACCTACTGAAAATGACAATTCATACCTAATAATAATAGGTAATCATTCAATAATAATAATAAATAAATAGGCTATGCATTCAAAAGTATCATTCAAGTCTCTTCTGGGATTGTACAAAAAAACTAATAAACATGTTTGCAAAAAGAAAAAAAAATATTTGTAGGTTAAAGTCATTAAGTAATGAACGTATAAATATTATGATTCCAGGTAACAAAACTATTAAATGGAGGTATAAATGACAATAAATTGGACTGGAAGATCCTTAGGACTTAAATGGTAGGCATACATGCATTTCTACTCAACATTCTTATCCATTTTGTGAAATACAAAAATTAATGTACTGTACAAACTGGAAATAATCAAACAACTGATCAGAGGTTAGGCCTACTAGCTCAACTATAGAGTATAGTGACTCAGAAAATAAATGTATTAACAAACAAATAAATAGTGAGAACAATTTATTTTATGACTCGAGCAGTCGCAAAGACTAGTGCTTGTTTGCATCTAAACGTCTGTAAGCTGTGAGAAAAACATTTTAATATTGGCTTCCTGGAAGGGGCCGGATAAACAGAGGACCGGTAAAACCAAGGCCGGGTATGAGGGGTTCTACTGTACTTAGGTTTACGCTAGGCTAGAGGGAAGGTATTGAGGTTTTTTTTTATTGAAATGTAATAGCTTAGTATGAAATAAACAAAACTGCCAAATTTTATTAAAATATATTTATAAACAAGCAAACTACAACAGTGTTTTTATTCTCTATAAGAATAACATGGGAATTTTAAATTTAAAAAAATTTTTAATTATCTCCGTAACCTTAAGGCATACAACAACACTTCAATATACAAAATTATTTCTTTTTCTAAGCTCTACAAAATGGTTTGGAAATAAATTGTGAAATTTTGGGTTTTTAGTGTTAAAAAAGGGAAAACCCAAATTTTACCCCATAAATCCCCGTTTCCACAGTCCGATCATGCTGGTTTGCGATCTCGTTCAAATAAACAGGTTTACATGTTTGTACCACCCGTGTCTAGAACGTACCAGGTATGCCTTATAGGAGAGGTACTCTTGTATAGCTGCAGACACACGAGCAGGCAGACAGTCAGACATGACTGAGGCTCCATCATCCTCTGCTTGGAACTGTCCCAACACTTGGTCAATGGACTCTGGAGGCACCTAAACAAAACACCACTCTATAGTGTATGCCTGGTAGTAAATGTTCTCTATTTAATCTGTATATATTTTTAGATTGAGCATAAAGGTTTACGGAAGCTTCAAAATGGTATAGATTTTTTGTAAACTGTATTATGATGTTGTGTTAAAATAGAATATGGGAATACAAAAAAATGAATATAACATATACAAAAATGTCCTGGGATGGTTTAATGTTTCAAAAAATAGGCTAATTAAGATGGAGCTAAAAAATTTGGTACAAAGTTACTGGGCAATAAAATAATTTTAACCCATTATTCAGTGATACGCTACTCCGTCAGGGGGCACGGCCCGCTAGGAGTCAGAAGAAAATGTTAAATGTAACCATAGGTAGATAAGCTCATCAAATTTCACTCCACGGCATTGTATTCCACTCATAAAGACTGTTAATTTGATGTGCATATTGTCATATGCTTATTTATATGATTTTCTCCCAACTTCTAGAAGGCGTCCCCCTGAGAAGTAGCAAATATAAAAACATTGCAAATTTAATGAATATTTGAACAGCTGTCATTTTTTACTCGGTCGTCTGTTTGAGTTGGGTTTTGCGGCATTGTATTTTACTAACAAGACCTTTAATTTGATGTGCGTGTTATTTTGTTAACATATGCTTACATTTAAAATTTTCTGTGGAAGCGATTGAGTGTGGAAAGTTCCTCGAGTGCAGCAAAGGCAGTTTGCACTTGTGTTACACATTATATTTTTCCTACAGCTACTATAATTCATATAAATAATTAGTCTTTCAAACACATATACAACACGTTTTTAGGTTAGGTTAAATCATAGTCAAAGATTAAATCCAAACATTGAACGAAATGGGAAACGCTGTACCACCTGATCGTAGTTGTAATATTTTTAAGAGTTGCCAACTAGAACTTATTTTCAAGTTTACACGGATTACGTACATAACAAAAGCACGCGGTTTTGTTTGGTTGGAATAGTGGTGTGCATTAAAGTAAAAACTGTGCGCCAAAGTAAGGCTTTCTGTAACATAATCTGTGCAAGGAAGCCCACTTTGTCATGTGATTGTAGGAAATAATTGTTTTTGTTAATAGTGAGCAAAGTGGCACTTTGCTGCATACGAGATAAATGTTTACGCACAAGCCGCAGGTGAGTGCAGAATGTTTCTCGAGTGCAGCAAAGGCCATTTGCACTCGTGTTACACGTTATATTTTTCCTACAGTCACTATAAAGCGTATGAATAATTAGTTTTTCAAACATTATACAACACGTTTATAGGTTACGTTAAACGGAATGGGAAACACTGCACCAGCTGATTTTAGTCGTAGTATCTTTAAGTGTTACTTATTTTCAAGAGTACATGTATAAACAGTAATCACCAGTATAAACTGAATAAAAAAGTAATTTTGTAACTTTCTTACTTACGCACCAAGAAGAAAACAGTTTGTATGCTTGTTCATACAACTTCTTTCTTTTCAGGAAACAGACTTAATGAAACATGTTTTGCAGTTTCTGCTACATATTTATTCTGGTGTACACATATATTCACAATCACTGAGTTCATTATTCTCAAACATGTTAGGCCCACTTATAATTATTCTTTCAAATACTACACTTTAGGTAATATTCAAGCCAAGCGTTGAACGAAAATAGAATACAAACACGAAATGACACGAAATTTAATGCATTAAATCGTAGTATCAATAGTCAGCTGATCTTAGTAGCAGTATCTTTAAGTGTTGCCAACCTATTTCCAAGCGTAAACGGATTGCGTGCATAGTAAAACCACGCTGTTTTGTGTTGTTTGGTTGGAATACTGGTGTGTGGAAAAGTATAAACCATGTGACAAAGTATAAACGGTGCAACAAAGTAAGTAAATGCAGCAATTAGCAGCTTTCTGTACGTTCAGTGTAATATCTGTAATATCAGTGCAAGGAAGCCACCTTTTTTCGGTTGACTGTAGGAAAAGTAAATTTAGAGCAAGATAACATCAGCTGATTGATTTGACCTTGCTCTGAATTAGAGCTTTGTAACCAATTATTTACTTTGATTTTAACTGTTATAAAAAATCACTACTTTCCTACAGAATGATAAAAACGTTATATCAATTTAGGGCAACAAATCTGGTGAAAATCTAAGAGTTTTCAATTAAGTAGCAACAACTTACCTGACTAAAAGCCAACTTGGCAGCTTGTATCTTTCCCAAGGCTAGAAATGTGCGAATAAGAGCATTGGTCTGCCAGATAGCCTCAGCCCGCTGGCCTGGGTACAACACCACCCACTCCAGGGCAGAGATCTTGCGTTTGTCCTCGTCTGTGATCTCATCATTCAACTGTAGCGACAGGCTCACCTCATTTATTTGCTCATTGCTGTAACAATAGGCAAAAAAACTAAAATTAAAGATTTGTATACAGCAAAAGCGTTTAAAACTTATTTTAGGCTCTTTTTGTTTTTTAAGTCGCATATAATTCACAATAAACCATAGAAAGAAGAGGTTAAGTTGTTAATACAATCAATAAACATAGATAAATAGATACTAATATAGAGACTAATAGATAAATCTCCTACAATATCAGTAAAATGTTGAACATCTCCCAGCAAAGATGTCGTCATTGTCTTCAGCGATCACAGAAAAATCTTATACACAGTAGACCCCGAATATCCGACCATGATGGGACCGAGCCATTATAGTCGAAACGGTAATTGACTTGTGCGACCATGGTAACACCTGTGAGTATATTTTGTGGTCTCGGCAATACTGGCAATTGTCTCCTGCCACCATGGCAACACTATTATCATAATAATTATTTATTTTATCATAACTAAATATACCCCCGCCGCAGTAAACCTGCAGAAAAGCGAAATTAAATTTGTATGAATGGGTTTTTACTAAAATATTTCTATAAAAAAGGCATGTTTATTCCCCGTTTAAATAGTACGAGGTGTTAGCCCGTCCTATGTACGGGAGTAGTCAGTTAAAACGGTGTAGGCCTATAATTCAGAACAGCTAGTTTACACGTATAAAGACAAATTTTATTGCAGCCTACAGTAGAAAGAGTAATTATCAATTGAGAAGTGTATAGGCCTAGTCAATGATATAACCTTCCATCGCATACCTGTACCTCTTCCATAATCAATATCGCCACAATACAATTACTCATACTATACACAATTTCCAGTAGGTCTGAATTGAAACTCCCTAATATAAAACGAAAACATCCAATAAAATTCACAGTACACATAATTATAACGTTGGTGTCCTGACATTATTAAACGAATCGTCCACACACATCCTTTATGTCAGTTTCACTGCATCAATTGCTAAATAAATAAGTGTAAACAAAGAAAAGTAAACACAACAACATATTAGTTTGTTTTGTAAACAGCTGAGTCAAAAATAATATTCATTTGAACAAAAGAACTGGTCACATGTCGAAGGAATTTAAAAAGTAAAAACGCTAGTAAAGCTAGTGACGTAGTTAATTGTCTATGTTTATTATCCATTCCGTTATCAGTTCCAATATCCTTGACAATTAAACCACCCTCATTGAATCAATGTACATCGTAATTCCCCATATTCATTTATTTAAACTATAAAATATTCAGCGCCTCCAACAACCACAACTAAACACACGCCAAACAACTTTTTTAGATTTCATAAAAGGATGGTTAGTCTAATTGCGGTATCCTAGGTCAATGATGACGTTGTGTTCAATCTATGTCATTCATCTGTGTATATCTTTGGATAACACCCGTCTGAGGTTGTAGTGGTAATTTAAAATCGTATTCCTGAGGATTCTTGATCTCCATCTTTATGACATCAATATTTCCGGGCCTAATCCAAACAAAGTTCAAGCATTCAAAAACATTGATTGTAAACAAAAAGCTGCCAAGATGAATTAAAACATGTAAAAATTGTGATTTTCCTACCCTTTCCAAAAAAGTTGTACGGTAAAATAATTTGCATATCTTTTTTTAAACTCGTGTACAGAGCCTCGACTTGTACACATCGATGGTGTTACTTATCTCGGTGGTCTACTAATCTTACTTATTTCCTATAATCAATGACAAAATAAGAGTAAATAAAATAACCTCATAGTTCCATAGTTTATATTTAACCAGCTGTTAGTTAAAACATATTATATTGCTCTAAAACAAATCGAAGATTACAAACATTGCTTTAAAAAATAATTTGAACATCCTAGTATTTTACTATGTAGGTATATTAAATTCATCCTCTTACAGAAGAATTGAACGTATCAATGATTAGCATTACACATAGTATAAATAAGTCAACCCTAAGTATGTCTTTACATTTTTATCCAAATGCTGAATTTGTGACACAAAAGCTGAATGTTTACAGCTGTTATGTTAAGCAAATTATTTTATACCAAAGGTTGTTTAGAATCTTAGCGTCGGCTGCTAGACTTTAAAAAAATTAAAACCTAATTTCTAAAAAACTGGGACCCTAAACTAAAATTATGGCTTCGACATTCCCTAGTTCTCAAAATTATCTTTCTTTCAACACAAAAATCATGAAAATCCGTCGAGTGGTTGATTCAGAATCGTGAAATAAAAAAACACTGTTTCGTTTTAATATTATAGATTCTATTTAAACAGTACTTAGGTTTGCAGCTATAGAGGAGGTAAAAAGTGTTTTTGTATAGGATGAAATAAATAAATTTGCCATATTTGATCAACTTATATCCATAAACATGCAAACCACAATAGTTTTCTTTTCCTCCATAACAATAGCATAGGAATCTTGTACTGTTTTTTTTTATATTTTTTTTATTTATCCCGTAGCCTTTGATTTTACAACAACGCTTCAATATTCAAAATTATTTGTTTTTAAGCCGTACACAATGGTTTGATTAAAAATTGGGCATTTCCATGTTTTAGGAACACAAATTAAAAAAAAAAACCAATTTTTAAAAGTTGTAAATCCCTATAGGGCCTACAGTAGAACCTTGATAACAAGACTCTCATGGGGATTATTAAATAGTACTTGTTATCAAGGTTGACTTCTTCTTGGGGTTTGCAGTAACATGTGATAAGGGGTCAAATAAATTCAAGGGTATTTACAAAATTACACTTGTTATCAAGGGTGGCATGTTATTGAGGCTCTTCTTATCGAGGTTACGCTGTAATACGTTTCCTTGACCCGATCTCACTGGTTTGCAAACTCATTCAAGTTTATACCACCCTACACCTTCAAGCCAAATTTCATCAAAATAGGGCCAAAATTACTCAAGTTATTGTGTTTACATACACATCTATATAAATAAAATTAGAGTTTTGTCTGTACATTGCTCAGAATCATAAATTTTGAGGTTATTTTTACGTTTTATACATTAAAGAAGCCGAAACAAGTCTCATCTCAATTTCTGTCTGTCTTCCGTCTGTCATGGCCCAAGAGCCATTTTACGCGGCCTTTGCCTGAAAAACGAGAGTACCTATCAAGATCCGAATCATTTTAATGTATTCACTGGATTGGCGTGAGTGTCTTTAGCTATTAAAATATGGCCTCACTACTTTGTAAATAAACTTACTGATGTTTAAAAACTCAATTTTGTGAGATTTTTGTCAAGTTTTCTCCCAATGTTTATCACGTAATCATCTATGAAATAGCGAACAGCTGTTCGGATCAAGATTATTTTTCTCTAGCTGTCACTGATATGTTTACATTGAATGTTGTTTAAAAATGCTGCAATCATTTCCGATCACGTTTCAAAAGCAAATCCAAACGAAGTTGGATTAAAACTGTTTTTCCTTACATAACGGATTTAATTAATGGCAAGAGCAATAATGTGTAGGGTAACCGTAAATGAAAATAGAGATTCTTTGTGTATACAATTTTTCTTGAGTTTTGATAACCGGGAAAAAGACCTTGAATCAGTGTTGTATATGGCTGGGAAACTTACATTTTTTACATAATCGTTACCAATAGCTTACATAAAAGGTTTCAACTCATTGACGGCACTTCAATGGTGGTTGTGTAAAGTGTAAAGTGATAACTGCAGTGGGTGATAGTAACAGAGGTTTACGGATTACGGATCAAATCGCTTTTCCAATGTGTCTTCTCAACGCTATGTGCTGCTCGCTGGACCATACAGCCAATAGACCAATTGCCCATCTCTTGGGTTCGTAGGCCTAAACAATTATTCATAAGTTGGTAGCGCATATTACTCAGTGTTCCGTAAGGACAGGACAAGAGCACCTTTGATAATGAAATTTCCCACCTGAATGTTTAATGGCGAGGTTGAGGTATAGTATTTTAACTATATATCGTTTGGTTAGTTAGGTAAAGTTAACCTTACCTAACTAACCAAACGATATATCGAATAAAACAATGGAATAATCAATATTACTCATTTGGTTGTTTGTGCCAACAGATATGGAAGTGTACCCCTCATAGATCTATTACGCATTTTTTTTTACTTGAAACTGTCAGATACTGTATTTGTTTATACTTAATAGTTTGGCCAGCATATCTGAAAATATGCAAACCAACTGCTGTTCTTTATATAGGAAGGTTTCAACTGACCACTAAAAGATCTCCGTGCGTAGAACGGGCACACAGCTAGTACATATATAAAAATTTTAAGTTTTAACGGATAGAGTTTTTAGCCTCTGGGGACATCAAAACAAAAAAGTAAATCGGTCCCATGCCCAGGTTTTACCTTGACACCTACGGTAATAGCTATTTCCTTATAGAAAAATTGGTAAAAAGAACAAAATGAATCCTTATTCCTTACTTTTATAAAAGACTTATTATGATAGTGGATATGCATTTTAAAGACATTTTAAGCAATTTTATCTACACAAGAAAATGAGTAAAACACTACCGGATATTTTCAACAACTCGCTGAGTGATGGACTCTATTGGAAGTTGCACTTGCTCAGCGGCCTGCAGAGCAGCTTTGCGCAGGTCAGACTCGTCTATGTTCTGTAGGAACTCTGCGTACAGACTTATCTGGTCCTGAGGTGCCAATGTGGCTGTATAGTGAGCTACTAACACTGGCTCCATCTGCTCCATCAGCACCTAGAGTAACAAAATAACAGTGCAGTATGTTAAACTTAACACTAGGCATTTGATACGTACTGACGGAATGAATGACTACAGTTCGGCCGCTTAGAAAACGACCTGCGCGCTAATGCTAAACCAATGCTGGAGGAGGTCGCTTTCTAAGCGGCCGAACTATAGTTAGTTTATATTGATACTGATACGTATAAATTATTCTCTGTACCACAAAATTAAATTATTCACATTTTTGGCTATCCCAGGTTTAAGTATTTGAATTATATTAGATTACCTTTTTTGTATTGCCTGTGTTGTTGAGTAAGGTGTTTGTTGTAAAGTACGGTACAAGAAAGCTACCAAATATACAAACGTGTAAATGTAAATAGATCGGACACCCTCCTATATACCTTGACATAAATAATGATGATCTGATCACCAATCTCCTGACTGACGGGTTGTCCTAACTGGCGCAGTATGAGCACCATGTGGGCCAGGAACCTGAGCATCTGCGGCTCACAGTCTGGCTGACTGGCCCAGTCTAGCATCTGACTCATGAGCTGTGGCAGCTGGTCCAGGATCACCAGCTTCTGTACCACTCTCGCTCTACTCCTAGCCTCCTGTCTGACCACAGCGTCTGCGCTGCTGTCCAGCACTGCGAATGTGTTCTCCATGGACAATCTGTGATGCATACACAATGACCTCACTACCATGTAGGTTATCACATGTATTAAATTATATTAACAACTATAAATAACGATGCAGAAAACCATCAGCCTAAGGAAGTGTCTAGTTAGTTGCTTTATTGAAATTGTATTCAAACAGATTTGTAGGAAATTTTATGCTTCTACATTCAGATTAAATAACCTAGACCAATTAAAGACTTGGCCTTTCTGTTACAAAAATAATATAAAAATTACTGGATTAATGTTTCAAAGCCTAAAATTAAATAAATACCACTCAATACAGAAATAATCTACAGGAATCAATTGATTATCTATTTTGAGTAGTTATGGAGCATTTTAAAATTTTATAAAATTAAAATTGCCAGAAACTAGGGATTGACGGGATTGAACTTTTAGTTCGGGACGGGACGGGAGGGGATTTTTATTTCCTTCCCAATTTTTGGAACGGGACAGGACGGGACTTTTTCCTGTGCATACCTTTTGTTTTAAGTCTTGAGTTTTACATTTACCAAAAAAGACAAACAAAATCAATTTGTACCGTTTGTGGTACTGATCTATAAAAACTAAAATACCCCTGCCGCAGCAAACCTGATGACTAGTCGAATTTCCACCTGCCTGTTTTGATTTTCTATTTAAATAACATTAGGGTGAACGGAGTACCTAGGTTTGCTGCTACAATGAAACTAATAAAGTGTATTTTTTTGTAAAATATTATTAATAGCTTGGTAAATTTTAGGGATGGTCAAGTCTCGAAATTTCGGGAAATTTTCGGGAAATTTTCAATCTCGTTACACGAGACGAGATTACTTTTTGGCCGAGATTTTTATCGAGACAAGAATAAAAATAAAAAAATAAAAAAATAAAAAATAAAAAAAATTAAAAACGCCTGCAGAAAGTCAATGCAATACCCGCAATACAGGAGCGTGTTGTAGTTGCGTTTCCTTTTCGAAGGCGTTCTTATTTAATTAATTCTTTTAATGTAAATATTACTTTCATTATTTTAATAATATTACTTTAATAACATTTGAGAAGTTTTGTTAAGTGTAAGCAGTGTGAGGAATGTTTTATTACTATAAAAAAGTCAAAACAAGTAACTATTTTATAAAAATTAATATTGCTTTTATTTTATGATTTATTTTATTTTAGGATAAGTTGAACTCTATCCTAACTGATATCACCATGTTTCCTAATCGTAGGCATTTTTAATAAGTTAGGCGTGATTAATAAAAAAATGTTGTGCTGATGTTATTTAATGAAAGATTGTAAATATTCTTGCCTATTATCATTATTTTAGTATTTAAACAGTCATCTAACAATGTTACAAAATCAGGTAAAAATTTAGAACGTGCATTTCCCGTTGTGTATGAGAAGAGAAATCTCGTCTCGATCTCGTCTCGAAATTTTATGAGAAATAAAAAATCTCGTCTCGTCTCGTCTCGAACTAAAAATCCAATCTCGTCCATCCCTAGTAAATTTATTTATTATATAAGTTTGATCAAATCAAAATATATTAAACAAGCAAACAACAACATTTTACAATATTCTTAATAAGTTAAATAACATGGGAATTATAAATTTACAATTTTTTGAATTTTTGCCGTAACCAATAACCAATCTACTGCCAATCATTGCCAGCTAGTTGGTTTAAAAACACTTAGATAAACTAAATTATTTGCTTTTTAAGCTCATTAAAAAAGTCTAGAGAGAAGTTAGGGAATTTTCTGTTTTTAGGGTCGAAATTGAGAAAAACCAATTTTTACCCCATAAAACCCCCTGTAAAACCTGTTGCCATGGTCCGATCATGCTGGTTCGCGAACTCATTTAAGTTGATCCCGCCTTACACCTTTAAACCAAATTTCATCAAAATCCGATAAAAAATTACTGAAGGTATCATGTTCACAGACATGATACGGTGTGATATACATGTGATGTATACATATATATACAGTTTATAAATTAAGTACTGAAACAAATCTGTATTTTTTAAACCAAAATAGATAGAAATATTCTGTGTGTGGCACTGATTTTTAACAAAGGATCCGCAATTTTTAACATCAAAAATATTTTTAACCCCCCTAACAGGGTAGGGGGTAGGATGTGACTTATTTTTTCAAATAGCAACCCCTATTAAGTGACCCCTCATTTTGAATGGTTTGTCTAGACATAAGCAATAGTACAAACCTGAAGTCGATATGTCACCCTTAGCCAAAATGGCAGGAATTTTCACATTTGAATTGGTGAAATGGGTGCTTTTTCACCCAATCAGTTGTTTAAAGCCTAGGTCTTACCGTGCCACCTACGGCAATACAGTAGCTACTTCCCTATGGGGAAATTCTCTAAAATGGGTAAAAATTTACAGGTGAAGAAACTCGTGACTCGCGGTCACGTCGCGATCGTTGTAATAATTGGCGGTCACAGCGGGATCGTCAGTATGACTACGATGAACTATCGTGAACATCTCTAGGGATTGCGGTGTAATCATCACTCGCGAAGCGGCAAATGCGCCAACGATCGGATCAAATCCTGTCCTGAAAAATTCCCGAATAAAATGTAATCCCGTCCCGAAAATCTGGAATATTTCTTTCCCGAAAATTTCCCGAAATTTTGGGACCTGAAAACCACCATCCACCAGAAAACTACCAGAAACATAAAACCTTTTGTGTATTCAGTTTTGTATCTCGACTAGTGGCTGGCCAAGCAATAAAGTTAGCAATTTCCGTCAGTTAAAATTTAAAATATTTCTTTTGACAAAATTGTCAATAATTTTGAATACAGTAGAACTCCACTAATCCTAACTCGGCTATTTTGACCGTGCCATTGCCTATCAGTGACAAAGACTATTTGCCATATTTGTGTGTAGATCATCCCATAAGCTCGTGGCAAAAATCTTGTCGTTGATTAAATGCTCGGCTATCACGGAAACGTAATCATCGTTTCCCGTGATCATGGAAACATTTAACACCATCCTCTGCAATTTTGGCAAAACACTGAACGTTTCCAATAACATTATCATTGATAGTTTCGTCTTCAGCAATCCTTGAAAACCCCAGTCACAGAAAAAAATCATCATTAACTTCAGCAATCATGGCAAAAATAATACATCTCCTGAAATCGCGGGCATATTATCATTGTCTCAGGCAATCATGGCAACTTTATAGTTATTAGGGGCCTATATGCGATCGTGGAAAACTCTTAAATATCTTCTGCGGTAAACGAAACATCGTTGCAATTGTGGCAAAATATGGAACTTGTCTCCCACGGTCAGATCAATAAATTTGGGTTAAGCAAACAATTCATGGTCATTTAATATGCTCCTCGGATAATCCAACCTTTTCACTGTAGGTACCAACGTTGGTCCCGGTTGATGATATCTGAGATTTGAAAATAGATATATAATTCTATGCAATAATTCTCTGAAACCAGCTATCTAGTGACAGATACTGAATTTATAACATTGAGAAAATCAACTTTACCTACAACCATTTATTTAACTAGCCTTTTCAATTCAAGTCAAGTCAAGTCAATCATTTATTTTCACATAACGTTTTACAGATCCAGCATAGCTGGGAAACAGGTGAAATGGTCATGGACAATTAAAATACATAAAACTATAATAACTATACAATATGCTAAGAAATCAAATATATACATCATTTAAAAAATCATCAACTTTGTAATACCCTTTATTAAGCAGCAATTTGGTAACTTCTTTTTTGTATTTTTCAAAAGATTCTGAAGATTTAATATTATCAGGCAGTTTATTATACAGTTTTTTCCCTAGGTATTGTGGAAGGGTTTCTAGTGAGGTACGGTAAGTCTATGAATGGGCAGTTATAAATCATTTCGATGTCGTGTTAAATAATTATGGTTATGGTTTTCATTCATAAAATATTCAAGATTTTTTTAAATAAATATTAATGTTTGCAGGATATAAACAGACGGAAGTGTTAATATTTTCAAATCTCTAAATAATAATTTACAGGATTGCCTAGGCTTTAAAAATGTCATAATTCTAAGGATCTTTTTTTGAATTTTGAAAATGGTTTCGGCATTTGAGCAGCTGCCCCAGAACTCTATTCCATACAACATGTTTGACACAAACAAAGCATAATAAACAATCATCCTTGTTCTGAGGTCAGTAACATCATAGACAAAAAGAATTAAATATAGACTGTCAGCCGTGCTGCGGTTGCCATGGTTACCATAGGTTCCGGCGCACACCGCTGTAGTTTACGTAGCGTGTACGCCGTAACTACCGTGGTACTCCAAGCGGTGTGCGCCAGAACCTATGGTAACCGCAGCACAGCTGACGGTCTATATTTAATTCTTTTTGTCTATGGTAACATGCTGCAGGACAGACATCTGGAAACAGACTGTATTTAGTTTATTAGCTAAAACTGATGTGTATTTATCCCAATTTAAAGTGTTTAATACCTGAATAACTAAAAATTTTGTAGATGACGTTTCATTAATAATTTCCCCTTGAAAATTAATATTTAATTCGATGGTTTCTCTGTCATGAGTAGTTTTGAACCTGACAATTTGAGTTTTAGAACAATTTAGACTCAGACCATTTGCTCTGAACCATTTGTTTAAATCTTCAAAAGTTTGGTTTATCAAATTTTGTAAATTGTTAGGGCTGTTTGATTTTAATATAGCTGTTGTGTCATCTGCGTATAGAACAAGCTTTGAGTTTATGTTAAAAGGCAGGTCGTTAATATAGATTAAAAACAACAAGGGTCCCAATATAGAGCCCTGAGGTACACCACAATAGATCATTTTCTATTTTGAAAAGTTATAGATGTTATCTTTAAAAATAATAGTTCTTTGAAAGCGGTTTGTAAGATAGGATTTCAAAAACTTCAAAGCAATTGGAGAAAAATTGTAAAATTTAAGCTTAGAAAATAAAATATTATGTACAACACAGTCAAAGGCTTTTGACAAGTCACAAAACATTCCAGCAACATTCTGAGACTTATCAATGCTGCAGCCGACCTCCCACAAGAAGTCAGACAGAGCCTGAGTTGTATTACGTCCTGATCTAAAGCCATATTGTTCTCTTACAAAAATGTTATTACTTTCAAGGAAAAAAGAAATTTGCTCAGTATTAATTTTTTCAAAAACTTTAGAAAAGGAAAAGGCTGGTAAGATGGAAATTGGGCGATAGTTATCTGAGTTTGTTTTACTGCCATTTTTATGAAGCGGTTTCACATCAGCATATTTTAACTGATAAGGAAAAATTCCACTTTCAAAAGACTGGTTTATTATCTGACTTGGTCCAGAAACAATGTTGGCAGTTTGCTTTATCAGTTTAACAGGAATTTCGTCCCAACCAGCTGACATTTTGTTTTTAAGAGTAAAAATTACTTTTGCAACATTCTCTCTGGAAACAGGCTGAAAGTTGAAATGAGGTATGTAATGATTATTGAGATTAGTATCGCAAAGAAATTTGTGGGCATCTAATTCATTGAAGAGAGCAGAGTTAAATTTTGCAATGTTGGCAAATTTATTATTAAAGTGTTCAGCTATTTCTGTGCCATTACCAATTATGCAATTATTGTCTTCAATATTACTGAAACTGGATTTATTTTTAAGGACACCTAGCTCTGAGTTAACAACTGCCCATACAGCTTTACTTTTATCTACAGAGTTCTTAATGTAATTACTGTGAGATAGTTTCTTGGCTGAGTTACAAACAGATTTGAACACCTTTTTATATATCTTAAAATATTGAATAAAATGCTGGTCATTTGAATGTTTAGCTAGCATGCATAGTTCTCTTTTTCTAGCACTTGACACCATAATACCTTGGGTGATCCACTTTTTTGATTTTACATTATTTTTACAATTTGCTTTAATGCTTTTTAAAGGGAAGCAATGTTGAAAATCTAACTTAAATTTTTGCAAGAAATTATCAAAATTTTTTTGGGCATCATTAAGTACAGTGACATTCCATGAGGATTCATTAAGCACTTCTAAAAACCTTAGCGTGTTTCTTTTATTAAATATACGTTTTTTTAAACTATTGCTAGTGTTTAGCTCAGTTTTTAACCCACAATCAGTTAAGATAAACAAGGATCTATGGTCTGATAATCCTAATTCTATATTGCAATACTTTGAAAGGTCTCTTCCTCTATTAAAAAGTATGTTGTTTATACACGTTTGAGATTTTTGATTAATTCTGGTTGGTTCATCTGAGTAGTACATATAGCCATGACTTATTATAACATTTAAAAAAGAGTTTTTATCTTGCTTGTTTTTACAATCATTCAGAACATCAACGTTGAAATCACCTGCTATATAAACAAATTTGCTTTTGGTTTCCCTTTTTAATAAAACAAAAAAACTGTTCTAACTTTTTTAAAAATAATTTAAAATTACTAGCATCTGGTACACGGTATATTGAAATGATGACTGATTTTGAACTTGGTATCTCAATACAACATCCCTCAAATATTTAATCTACAAAATATACATTTAAATCATTTCTCTCCTTGACTACTACATCAGACCTAACTAAAATACAGGATCCACCATGTATACCTTCTTTTCTACAGTAAAAAGCAGCTAAGCCAAAAGAATTTAAAGCATTAAGAACAGCTATTTGATCAGGTCTTAGCCAATGTTCTACGAGACATATAACATTTATATTTGTGTTCTGTAAAATAATATTAAGATTATTGAGCTTGTTTGGAATCCCGCCTTGTATGTTTAAGAGCATAATACTCTGAAAATTCTTATTTTCCAACTTATCTAGGTTGTGAGTTCAGTTCTTGTTGTTCTAAGGTTCAGTTCTTAGAATTAAAAATATTCACTTAAACAGAATTGTTTACTTACTTAACAGCATTGTTTCACTTAACAACATGACCTCTCTTAGAAGTTCTGAGTAATTGTTAGTAATTAAAAAAACTGTCGTAGATGAAGTAGTGTACGCAACTAGCGTAAATAGCTTAACCCTTTGTGGTCGAATGGCGACTTATACTTGCCGAAACAAAAAATTTGACCTCAAAGGATTTACAACACTTGTAGAAGGCTCGTACCTTAAATTTCTACTTGTGTCGTTAACACTATCTTTATTGTTGCGTAAACTACTTTGGCCTATAGCCTGTATATTACAGACAATGTGGCTCACTTGTTGTCCCAGTATGAGTCAGGCATGGGAGTGTACTCTCGCAGGCTGGTGTTGCGCACCTCTCTCTCCACTATCTGGTCTACGAGTGTGCGTGTGTGAGCCCACAGCACATCGTCCCACGTCTCACACGCAGGCAGCAACGCGTGCAGGTTACCACACAGACACGCATACACTGCACGTGCATACCGTCCTGCCTGCACGTTCTCTGACAACCGCCACGCACACAGCTTCCATATGTCTCTGTCCACATAAAAGGATCATATAGCTACAGGCTAAAAGTCTTATTACAACTACATTTTTCAGCTTAATACTATGATAAATGTTTGTGAACATTGTAACATTATGATAAATGCACATACATAAAAAAAATTATGGGTACTATCATTTAGATAATACTTAATACTTCTAGTCTAAATACTTCAAAACATTAAATTGCATTTTGAAAAGAAGATTTGTGACAAATTAATTCATCATACTATGGCATTACGTCAGATTCATTATCTCCACTTGAGCTCAGCTCGATAAAACATCTCAGGCTTGCACACTTCAAATTCCAACCATAAATATACTCTACAATTTGAAATGGCATACAATTACCTATGAGGATTACCCTCGACCGCAAGCTTCTCAGTAGTCGGCACCTTGGTAGCATAGTTGGGATCGTGGTAGAGACGCCAGCCGTCTAGAGAAGCCGCCCGCCACTGCTGGCCACAGTGATGACACAGAGCTTGTGCTCGGTCATTTCTGCCACATCTCAGTTCTGCCAACACCTGCTTCAGCAGTCTTGTCTCGTCCTCCTACAACACAACCACATTATCAAGTAGTAAGTATTAATGTGTCAGTACAAAATATTGTTGACTTTTAATACCAACGGCTGAAAAATTCGTTCTTGGTAGTCCATAACTTATCTACATCATTTAAATCTCAATTAAGATATAGCTGATGTCTGAGAAACAAGCCAAACTCTAGGCGGATGATAACTTGGTAACTGCAAAACTGTTTTGAATGTGAGGATGCTCTAATCCAAAACAACTTCCTGGCCTCCATCTCAACCCTTCCTTGGATGAAAATGCTGTTAGTGACAGTGAAATGTTCTACTTGTTGAGTATCATGGAAAGTTATAATAGTCTTTATTCAGCCATTAGTTGCATCATAGTAAAATAGGCTATGTCAACATCAGACTCGCAAGGTTATAACCTTACACAAAAAAAATACAAATTGACATATGAGACATAATTGAACAGAAAATAAATCAATAACATTACAGTATGTTTTACCTTAAAACAGGTTAATAGCTCTATTTCCCTTTTGCAAGCATCTTACAATTCCCAACCAGTAGTGGGTATGAAAACATGGCTGAAGTTAGTTATTGAGTTTATGATGCGAAATCAGACTTCTGCATTCAGGTGAGTCTGCTACCCTTACAAAAATCCTTAAAGCTTTAAGCACTGCATGGCTCCGTAGATATCTGGAGTAACAGATTTTACTCAACCCTGGTACAACTATTAACAACTCCCTACCATGTCTAGATCATGAAGAGGTTTGCCTTCTCGCAAGGGAGCATCAGGATCAAGCCTCTTGACTATTTCTCTAGTGCTTCGGTAGGCAACGGTCTCATTCTGTAACACACAAACCACGGTAATGTAAACAATAACTTATCACAAAACAAGGTAAATATATCTATTATTATTTTTAACATGACATAAAAAGATAGCTTGTTAGTTAAAAAGTGTTTATTTTGTTGTTGTGGACGTTATCAGTTATAACTAATAATATGGTATAATAATTACCTTGTTAAGTAATCCAAATTTTGTTGATGTTAGGTTAAAAACCTACATGTTTCACCGTAGGTATGGCATTGTCAGAGTAAAAAAACATAAATTACATTCACGACGTGGAAGGTCGCGGCGCAGGTAGTAGACTGAGTAGTATCGTTTATTGTAACGATAATCAACCAAATTTGTATTATTTGACGAGGTAATCATACCATAATATTATTAGTCATTTATAGTAATCCAGGGGCCATCAACATGAAATGTTATAAATTATAGGTTGTATAAATTGTAGAGTATGAGTATAACCTGCGCAAAAGAAGGACTATATAAACAATTCCAGACAAACCATACAAAATTAGATTCAAGCCAGTAGAGTTGAACAGCAATCAGCCCATTAAAGCAAGTCACAATAGTTTTACAGTTTAAAATCAAAAATCAAACCAAAACAGATTGAGTGTTTTGACACAAATTCTTTGACATTGTTTTATTTTGAGGCTTATATATTGATGAGTCTTTTTTTTTACTTGAAATCCTACATAGTACTTGTACGATTCAAGATTCTTTATTTGGTCATTGAACAGTTATATATAATTAATTGAAAATGTATTTAACATCAACCAAAGCAAAAAAATTTATAATTATAGTAGACAATATAAAAAACAACAGATTATCATCTTAATCAAATCAATATCAACAATCAATGGACTAGAAACATTAATGAACTGCTATATCGTAGTGAATAGAAATATAACAATTAATAACAATTAACAAGGAACTGAATCATTTAGTGCAGGGGTCGCCAACCTCCGCCAAATGGTAGCATAGGCAACTAGGCCTACAAAATTAATATTTTTTAGTGTATACCTCAATCGTTTCCCCCAAATGCGGCAGCACCCACAAGCATAATTTGTAGTCTCAGTGATATCACAATCGCCTACTGCGATCTCATACAGTATTACGAGGGAGGTGTAAGGTACCAAAATTTAAGGGGGGTAAAAATGTAACACGATTTAAAAAACACCAGAACTTACCCGATTTTAATCTACAATAGCCTACTCCTAGGCCTATGTGTTGGCCATAGCTTGGGCTATGGGCCAAAGAACGTAGGCCTATTTTTAATCACAGTGAAGCACATACACACACTCACACAATGTATTTATCGATAATAGCCCTCCATTTCACCAAATTAAGTTAAACCGACCGATTTTACAAGTATTTAACGCCGACAACAACATGGCATAGATTCGAACTGATGTTTGTTGACAGACGACAACTAGACCGGCTCAACAGTTAAATATGGGCGGGAACGAAGGATTTTAGTCAAAGACAGGATTATTCGATTGAACGCCGTCTTCGAAGTAACTTTGCAATAACATCTACGCTTGCACGATAATCGACAATTCGTTTACTGAAGGTTAGATACTAGTTAGGACTTTTTACGTATTATTTTATATACGTTCAACACACGCATTCTCGTTTTACAACTATTTTTGTTTCAGGACTAGATTTTTAAACCTCTAAATTTAATAACTTAGACTTCACCGACTTTGGCTCAGACCTGCCAGTTCCTGCCTGACAGTGACTAGCGGTTGCTATCGTACAGTTTTGTTTTAACTCATTAGTTTCAAAATTACGATTAATCCTTTCGCTTAACGAATAATTATCACGCGCAACTGTTTGATTAATTTGCTGTTTTAATATCCCAAGACTTCTCGACTGAGTTCTAAACCCCGTCTTTGGCGGGTGAAAGAATCAAGTCTGGGAAGTAGGCTGATTTGAACAATCAGCTATGAATATTAGCATCAAATCTATTTTTAACCGTATCACGATAAATTCTCCGTTCGATTACATTAATTAGGCCCCCGACGACTCTGTAGAAATTGTTTTTTTTTTTACCTTGTGTTCGATATTAGATCAATTACCAAACGTCCTTAACCACTTGTTTTAAAGTTTAATACTGTACGAGTATTTATATCGCATTGGCTAAGATTGAATACTCGTCGGTAGGGATGGGCGAGTAGTGTTTTTTTGAGTCGAGTCGAGTAATTAGCCCTAATACTCGAGTATCGAGTCGAGTCGAGTCGAATAGTTCACGAGAAAATCAACAATTTTATTTTACATATATTCCATCTTCATTTTTACGAACAAAGCATTTCTCAATTCACCAAAAATAGACCTGGTTAAAAACTTTTATACCATATAAAAAACACAATATGTATGTGTATCAAACTTATATTTTGGTGTTAAAGGTTTATTATTTATTGCAAAAAATTGCAAAAATATGGAACTAAATGTTTATTTTAAAATAGGCCTACTGTAAATGTTTGAATTTGACTAAAGCATGAGATCTAATAAAGTTTCCTCTAATTTATAAATAGGCTTATAAGTATTTATCTAAGTCATTTCTCAGTTTTTGTATTTATTTGAAATTCCATGAAATTGTCTTAGTTAACTCATTAGTTTATAATTTTTTTTAATTACATACCTAGCCTACATCTTGGTCTACAAATACTCTTTGTAAGGTAAGTTTTTTCCCCCAAGTGAGTAAAAACTAACTTCCTATATAATGACATTTTCTCACTAATTATATATCTTCAAAATTTGTTTAACTATGAAAAAGTCACCAAGTCTAGCTGAAAACATAATCATAAATGAGGATATTTTTGAAATACAGAATAACTAATCAAACAATAGTTATTTGTGCAACTAGTGAGAAAAGTGAGCAATTGACTCACTCGAGAGAAATCCTTACTCACGAGCCGTAGGCGAGTGAGGAATGGTTTCTCGAGTGAGGCAATTGTACTTTGAACTCGAGTTGCACATTATAGTTTTCCTACAGTTACCATAAAACAAATAAATTGGTGAAGAAACATAACCTATTTTTACACAAAAGTAAACTTTTAATGTAACATTTAATTTGAAGTGACAAATACAACAGTACAACAGCTGACCAGCTGATTTACAGCCAGTGCTGCCAACATATTTCGCGCGCATACGACGTTGCCTGCATGTTGCGCTCACTATTTCGTGCCTTCACGTTGCAAATCTGGAGTGAGACAAAGTAATTAGAGTGAGACAATGTTAACATTGTCTCACTGATGAGCGAATTGGCCACTTTGCTTTCTCAAATCAGTGAGAGAACATGTACATTGTTAGGTAACTGTAGGAAAAATGTCTAACACTTTTATTTCTCCACTTTTTTTCCTTGAAAATGTCAACAGTTTTTCACTTATTTTTAATAAAGATTATCACTTATAATTGTTTTAAAGAAGTCCAGATGTGTGAACTTGAAGAGCAGACAAGAGACATACGTCACTGCCACAAAAACTCTTCTCTACTGTGAATGAATGAACTGTTTATTGTGTGAAGCCCCACCCACTGTCTAACGGGACATGGGGGAGGAAAAGAGAAAGTTTGGCAGAATTTGCCCTTGTTCTAAAGCCTGGTTCACATGCCCTCCCTCACCCTCGGCCTCAGTCGCTTGCAGATTTCCATTACACAAGAGTGTTAATTATTTTGAAATACTGTAAATGTTTGAATTTACTATGATGAGATCTAATAAAGTTTCCTCTAATTTATAAATAGGCTTAACTTTTTAAGTATTAATCTAAGTCGTTTGTCAGTTTTTGTATTTCATTTTAAAAGCAATTGCAGTTATACATTAAAAAAATTACAAACATCTTGGCCTACAAATACATTTTGTAAGGAGAGTCTTTTCTCTAGTGAGTAAAAACGATCGTGGTCAAGGAATGAACTGTGCTAAAACAGCACATTGTCAATGTTTACAAAAGTATTTTGACTGAAACCCTGGTATTTTTTTAAAGACATTGCATAATAGCCTATGTCGACGTCTGTGGAGAAAAGTATGGCAATAGATAGGTTTTACTTTTAGCCTACAACAAAGATTATGTTTTGGGACTAAAATCTCTAAAAGACCGAAAGAGTGCTTTTAACAAACATTTCATAGTTTTATTTAGTAACAAAAGTGTTTGACTATGTTCCCGATTATACCAAGAACAAGGTTCGGCAGAGTGGATTCACTGTGAACCGGCCTGCCTGGCCCTTATGCACGACGTCACTACAGTATAACGTATAACCTCCGTGTAGGGGTGTCAACAATGGATCGGAACAATCGAAGTTTTGAACCTGTCTGTAACCTAGTTTTTAATACTTAAATACTCATTTTTTATAAACAAACACGTCCTACATATCGGATCTCGAATCACGACATTTATCGATACCCTTTCCACCCACAATAAAACATTAAACGATGTCAAAGCAATCGTCATTTGCTCCATTGAAACACGAAAGTCGATTGGCTGACATGGTAGTGCACTGACGCCTCCCGACCAATGAGAACTGTTGTTACATACTTTTATTGTCAACATTCACCAATCGTTTTAACATTACAAAATCGACACGGACTAAGGCTTATAATATTTTTCAATAAATACATTATGATATAGTAGCACTTAAAACTTCACTAAACTCTTTAATCAGGTAGATAGTACAGATCAAAATATGGATCTACTTTTTGGCGCAATATAAAGCAAGCCTAACCATACGACGATGTTAAAGTTTAATGGTTGAATATAATTTTTCTAATGATGCGTATAATGCAGGGATTATTAAACTGAAAATTTCGACGTGTTTAGGTTATTTATTTTGTACTAAAAATAAAAATAATACATCTAAATGTCTGACTTATTGATACAGACATTGTTTAGTATAATTAATTCCGTGTTGGCAGGACATTCGCGCGCCGGTTGTCTCTTGCTTGAGTTGAGTCTGACATCTTGAAATGTAGATTCGTAGATTGTGTTAAGAAATGCTGAAGCTAAACAATGTCACCGGCACCGTCGCTGTTTTGAACTAGATAGTTTATAAGTTGGCTATGACAATTGTTAACCGTGATGACAAAACTAATACTGTAGCTATACAGTAAATAAATGTTAAAATAAAATATTTATCCCTGTCAGGTGTCGGTATCATCGGAATCGACTTTTGACAATCGAGTCTTGGTACCGATACCAATGTCCAAGTATCGGTGGTATCGATGACGATAATCGAATCATCCCTTTTTACTAGTAGAGCTGTATCGTGACGTAATCGATGCACCGGGATTTTGATGCATGCTGGATCGAATCGGGATTCGATGCATCGCACTCGCACACCTACACCACTGCCTATCACCCAGTGTCAGCTCAGCTGTCGGCGCTGTCGCTGTCAGTGAAATGGATGACGCAAGCGATGTCTAGGTTGCCGATTATTAGTAGGCCTAGTATGTCAATATTTTAAAGGGGTTAAGGGATTAAATAAAACTCAAACATTTTCCTTTCTTACTATTTATTTGTCAAATATCAATGAAAATAACGAAATCGGCTTAACGTCTACTACTCGACTCGCGATTATCTTTAACTACTCGACTCGACTGTCGAGTATTGCCAACTACACGAGTAATTACTCGACAGTCGAGTACTCGCCCACCCCTACTCGTCGGTCCTACAGAGTTATTCTAAAAGTTAGACAAAATTTATCCAAAACACTTTAACGAAGGTGAGGATGATATAGCTCCTACTGAGGGTCTGCAGGATTTCCTGAGTGCTTCTAGAGCTCTGAGCTTTCGATTAAAAATTAATATTGATCAGTCAAAGCCGTGACAACTTTGTATCGACCCCTGGATTTTTCTCGGCTCCTTCTGAGCACTACGGGAAAGAAATTTGAGTGTGGCTGGGTTCTAGGGGTAGGCCTAGCCTGACTTGGTGAATACTAGTTTGTTCCCCCCCTAGAATTTTGCGTCACAGAACTAATTTTATGCCATCAACGAATGATTATTTGCGATCATTACGGAATTAAATTTCAAATTCAGTGACGTACCAGTAGCCTTGCTTAAACCATCATCTGGGAGTTGGGCAAGGTAAGGCAAAGACCATCAGCAAACACAACACAACTACAATGATGATGCAGCATTACCTGTAGCTGATGCAGAGTGTTCTCCCAGGCTACAGTGTTGTCCATGAAATGATGCAGTTTTGGTCCTGTTCTCATGTCAGCTACATCAGCTGCATTCTTTTCTAACCAGTCAACAATCAGTTGATACTGCACAACAATTATAAAGTATTCAGTTTTCACTCTTTGATGTTTTAATTTTTGGTATCTTAATATAGAATTTTTTTTAAATAGGGAAAGACAAAAGATATTTTAAAGTGAATTATATAGATTTTAACAATCAATTAAGGTTTGTTTCCAAACTCAGAAATAAAAGACCTATTTTATAACGAGACTAGTAAAAGTTTGTATTAGGTAAAATCCTAAAATCAAAATGAGTATAAAAACAATAAATTAACACAGCCTGAAATTAATTTTTTTAGTTAAATACTGGTTGGAACAGTGATTCTGCTGTCTCCTTTCAGTTAACTTTTGTATTGCCAAAAAGTTGTTGGCTTACTTTCAATTGTTTTCTTCTTTCTTGTCAAATAGGCCTAATTATGATACTGTCTTTTTACCTCTCTGATCTTGGTGTTTGTCTTATACAAGTTTTCAACAATCTCCTTTTCGCTCGGAGGCTGCACAATGTCCATGACTCCATCGCCCTCTCCCCCATCGTACACTCCATCCATATCAGATGTCAGTCTGTTCTGGTAGAGTGCCTGCACTAGTCGCCAGTTGTTGCGTTCAAACTCTAGCCACTGAAGTTCCTGAAAACAAAAATATCACTTAAACAGCTAGATCCTACTGGACCGTTTGCTACTGTTACCTTTAAACACACAGGATGCTGGACTCCACAGTACAAATTTTTCATTAACTTAACTATGCCTAATGTTATAATAGCCTACTTTCTTTCATGTCATAAACACAAAAATTCAAATTTGTATAGCCTATTATTTTGAGACACACAGAGAAAGTCTACACAAAACAAAAAGCCTGAGGTGTAACTCACCTATCCATCAGTTCAACTGTCCACTTAACTGTTTATTTGAGGTGGACCTCTCATACCAAGCTGACAAGTTACATGCTAGACCTGACTGCACATTGGGCTAATCTGGAGACCTTGACCACTGACAGTCTACCACACAAACAATACGAGTACCTCCAAACAAAGCAAAGTAGTTCCAAGCTTTCAGCAATTTTGGTCAAGTTATGGGTCATGATTTGCATGTTACTCAAGTGATGGCACATCCTTTGCGGCTAAAAAGTGTATGTGCACGGCTTAAGATTTGAAATGTATGACAAAAACCCCAAAATAAGTCAAGTGTCACATCTATTGTATTTTTATATTTGTTATAAGCATTAGCTCGGTTGGTTTTATCTTTTCCATAAAACCCCCTGAACCCAATTTTGGTTAATTCAGATTTAGAACAATTATTTTCAAACAATGATTTTAAATTGTATAAAAAGGAGGATAGCAGCTAGCTTACCTTGAAAGTGTGGGTAGGCCATAGAACAAGTAGAAAATACACTGTGCACATAATATTTTGTCCCCTAAGGGACTTTGTCAAGTGTAGAGAACATTTACATTTATAAACTCAAGATAAACTTTTAAATTACAAAAGATTTTTGTAATTTATAAACTCTTTCTCTACACTTGACTAAGTCCCTTAGGGGACGAAATATTGTGTACACAGTGTATTTTCTACTTGTTCTATGGCCTACCCACATGTCAAGATAAGCTAGCTGCTATCCTTTTTCTACAATTTAAAATCCTGGCCTAGAGCCTTTCCTTAAACAAAACTTTTCAAACAAAGAGACTAATTAAATGGTTAGGCCTATAGGGCTGTTATAGAAATATCTATGTATATATAAGGCAAAGCCCTCACTGACTGACTCAGTCACTCACTCACTCACTCATCACTAATTCTCCCACTTCCCATTTACCTAGGAGGCTGAAATTTGGTACACTGATTCTTTAGGCATTAAATAGGAAAACTAAGTTGTTTTTATTCTGATCGGACTCTCGGGCTCTGCCCCAGTGACTCTGGAGAACCTTATGAGTACTCATATTTAAATGGAATTAATGAATATTAACAGCTGTTTCAATTAAACAAGTTGGTTCTGATCTATGAAGTGCAAATAGCATTAAAGTTACAAAGATTACCAATAGGGTGCAGCACTATTATTTTTTTAAATTTATGACAACAGCTAATTTGCAACCAAAAGGTGAGTGGACGTGAATTGAGCCATGCGAACGAGCTCATCTTGAAAATTAAGAAGTTAAACGGGGCAAAGCCCGCGGGTACAGCTAGTGGCATATAAACAAGCGATTTAGACAAAAAAGATTTTGGCACATTAGAAGTGATGAACGTGTGGTGCTATTGGAAAGATCTTGTAAAATCAGTGAGCAGGCAATAATAGTTGTATCTTTGTGCCATTACTCATTAGCTGAGGTTTATATTATTATAATCTCCTTGGACTTTTATATTACCGTATTGGTGAAACTGCCAAAATGTTAGTCTATCTAAAGTATTTGAACCTACCTTGTCATCATGTGTTTCCCTCATCAGCTCCAGAGTATTGTTACAGTTGAGAGCAAACTCAGCGATTGTGTCAAACACTTCCCTTGATGATGAGTGAACCTGCAGACTCTCCAGGAAACTGTGGTACAGACTGTCACTGGCTGTAATAATTTCATCTCATTACAATTAGAAAATCCTGAATATATGTTTCTAATCATTCTCAAACTACCACTCTTTTTATTGTCGGATTAAATTACCATTATATTGTATTTATAGTAGGTATTTATTTATAATAGGTAAATTCGACAGAAACCTACAAAATTGAAGGTAGTTTAAGTGAGACCGACATATTTTTATTTATTTATTAAGTGCTATTTGTCTTGTTTACCTAGACAAATACAATGTCGTTATAAAAGATTTTATGAGGCAGGAAGTATTTTCTATTACTAATTACATTTTTCATTGTAGGCATGGACAATTTTTTTCCTTATCTTGAAGTGTTAACTTTTCTCAAGATGTGTTGAATTTAGGAATTTTCATAACTCTTAGCAGCAGAGTAATGTTGGTTCTTTTGATAGGAGACCCTCTAAAATAACATTTAACAAAATATAAGAGGTAAATCTATTATATTATTAAAGTGATACAATCAAATTTTATGTAAATGGTTAAGGTCATTTACCAAATAAAAATATAGGTATATGGCACATCAAAATGAAGCTTAGAGTGTGTAGATTTGCCGAAAAGTATTGATATGGACGAATTTCCTAAGGGCTCTGCCCCACAGGCTGATTTCCAAAGGGCTACGCCTGGCATGCTTCCAATGTTTAAATGATTTAATTTAATTTAGTTAATGAAACAGCTGGTCAGTACAAGGAACTGGTGTTAGTTTATTTACTCGAAAAAGATGTTCGTGGCGCTTTATGTAGATTGAGAAGGGTTATGTTTGGTTTTAAAGTGAGGTTGTATACGTTTTGTAAAGTATTGCTCAATGTTTCATTGTTTTATTAAAATAGTAAGCTACATGTGAAGAGGCTTGACTAAAATTGAAGAAATCTGGTAAAACATACCATTCGATTCATGAAGCATCAATATGAAGTAATTGATGTTATTGCTACACTAAGGTATGTTGTCATATACTTATGGATTAACATCAAAAGTAGGGGTTTGAAAGAACGTATGTTTACGCTTTTAAATCAGTTTATATTTTCAAACTGAATCATAGAGTTGTTGTATTTTAAAACACACATCAGCACCACTTTAATAGCTCTCTAGGCCACATTTTCTTCCCGTTGCAAAGCACGGGTATAGCAGCTTGTAAATATTTAAAGCTATCTGATTTATGGACTGCTCTACAAAGTTGGGAAAGTATAACAAGAGAAATTTGATTTCAACCCCACTACATTTAAATTTATTTCACTGATTACTCCTAACATTTTAAAATCATGTTTGAGGTTTGTTACTCTGCAGACTAAAATGTTATTTAACACACCAAATGTCTTCTGATATTGTCTCTGACAATAGCAGCTGCAGCACCTTGTTTCTCATTTCTGGGGTCTCCATGAAATTTAATAAACGTAAAGTAGGTCTACTATTTGTTAATAAATGTTCATTAATATTTTACCGAGGCTGATGGGCGTGTTCTGCTGCACAAGGGTTGAGTTGGCTTGTTGGATACCACTGGTATGGTGACCAAGAGCAGAAGATGCCCGAGATGGAGAATCCATGTAGAAGTTCTCCAATTCTGACGTAGACATTGTGATGGATGTGTTTAGAGCATATGCCCGCACATCAGAGTGTCGCAACGGCTGAATGGTGTTGTTGAAGAGACTGCTGCGTTCTGTTTCAAATCCAAGCACTAAATTATAGGCTACACACTGATGGTCTTACCTACTACATTAGTTTGGGTTAAAGAATGAATGTATTGTGAGGTACACAATATTTAGTAAGTGATATTTCCCTTGATTTTTTGAGATCTTGAGTTTGATTGATTGGACTTCATCCATAAGTACAGACTAAACTTAGTTAACATTAAAATGTGTTAAAAATAACTACTTCATGAAACTGGAATATGTATTTTGTCTCTAAGATATGGGTAAATATATAAGAAGTGTTCACTTACGTTTGGAATGCCTTGGACTTCGGAATTGCATTGGCGAACCTACAGCATCGTCCAGCAGTCTCACTGATTTCTGGAGTATATCATCTGACGCCATGTCTGTCAATCAGTGGTGTCTGCTGAAAAAAAGAGGTTGATTATTATTGAGCGGAGAGAAACGAAGCTCTTTGGGATCGGCTTCAATGCAAACTGAACATATTTTAGGCAAATTTACTAAGGTTATTTCAACAAATGTTTGGAAGGTTTAAGACAATACGATTTCATTTTTTATAATGCCTATAACACATTTCCTGGATTTTCCGATATCCTGTTCGGCTTTAAAAATGGATGAGGGAGGTCATTAAAAAGTTTGGTACTTTGGTATTATCCGGAGTACACCCTTATACAGCTGCGGTGGTTATGTTAGGTTGGTTATCATAAATATATTTAGTAGGACTTTCCTCGCTTCGTTATGAGTTGAATGATAGCAGATGAGTCATACTTTCGCCCGCCAAATCCCCTCCAAGTAGGCCTAGGTCAGGTCGTTGACCGTGCGCATCACCTGTCACCACCTGTATCTGGCTCTGTGTCCTGAGTGATTTATTGCCGTGTACTAGGTTAGTTTTATCTCCATAATGAGTGACGTTCTTTTGACTGAAACGAGGGCTACAAACATAACCTATTTATGATAACGGAACCCAACCTAACATAACCGCCACAGCGCGCTTATATAGGCTAAGGGTAGCCTCCGTTTCAACTCAATCTTCGCTTCAACTCCGACATCGCTGCCTTCTGGGAGGCAGAACTAAAAAGGTCGCTAATCGTAATCATGTCAAATTTGGACAGTAAGTCAATTAAAGTACATATGTTTTTTCCAATTAACTTATGTAGTTATTTCTGGTATCCAGTAAAGAAAAAATCCCTCTAAATTAGTGGCCTCCGAATAATACCAAAATACCAAAAGTTTGACTGCCTTGAAATATAAATTTTTCTGAAAGAAGGTGGTCGAGGATTGTGGTACCGTACTGAAAGATTGAAATTGTTGCGTAGAGGATATTTATGGATACTTGGAGAGCAGAATGGCTATATAAGTTCTTCTTCTTCACACCTGTCTGTCTCGAAGAGAAGCATGTAGTCCTCCCAGGGGGTTTTTCCATCGAAGTGAGGAACGATGTTCTGAGGGGCAACAGCAGCAATGGTGGGCGCTGGCTTGGAGACGGTTTGTAGGGCGTTTTCATGCTGAAGTTCGCCAGTGCTAGCCGATGACGCAGGTGTGAAGCTTCCTGACGCAGCCATCTCCTGCCTAAGCTTATCAACTAACCTATCTTCTAGATTTTTTTCTATACAGTTAATTTTCTCATCCATTTCATTCATTCTACTTTCTAAACTATCAACTTTGTTCGAATATTCATCTAATTTGTTCAGCATTTTTGATTCTACATTTGACATTTTTGCCTCAATGCTAGCTTCTAAGTTTTTGTTATTTTCTGACATTTTTGACTCTAATGTTTTGCTATTTTCTGAAATTTTAGACTCAATATTAGCTTCTAGGTTTTCTAACGTTTTACTAGTTTCTGACATTTTTGACTCCAATGTTTTACTATTTTCTGACATTTTCGACTCAATATTAGATTCTAGATTTGACATTTTTGACTCTAAGTTCTTAAGCATTTTATTCATATCAGATATTTCAAATAAAACGTTATCTGGGTCTTCACCTGCATCAATTAAAGCTTGTTTAAGGCGTGCCTGAAGGGCTGATTTAGTTCCACTAGTATCAAGATCTCGTTCTTCTAATTCTCTTCTAAGATCAGCTACTTTTAACTCGTCAAGTTTCACACCTTTGAAAGCCATTTTTGTGCAAAACAATTAAAATAATAAATGATTTTTTTCTTAGTAAACAAATTTACGACAAAAATCACTAATATCTAATACAACTAAAATTAAACTCAATATTTTACAATTAAAATCGCCAAAATAATGCCGCTTTCTGACACCAATTGTTGCGGGCTTAGCAGGTTCTTTACAAATAAAACTTGGCGATTTTATAATAACTATTTATTTACACTAATTATTCTATATTTACAGATATTAGAATTACCTAACACCTAACTAACCCTATCTAAACCTAGCTAAAGCCTATTCTAATTTACAATGGTTCTACTTACAGCTAGCCTCTACAGGATTTATCACTACTTCTGTTACAACACTGTCACTACACTGTCACTAGTGTCACTACAGTGTCTCTACACCGTCACTACACTGTCACTGCCACTAGCACTAGCACTGGTCACTAACACCGATGGGCGCTTGCTGCGACGATTCTCGGAAGGCTCAACACAACTGCCGTGTGCCGGAAGACGGTCCCTTATATAAGTTTGCCGTGGAACATTCTGGAGACCCCTGGTAGCCTAGACAAAGGTGTTTACGCCGTAGAAGTGTAGAAGGTTCTAGGGCCCCTATTGAGGTAGTCCGTTGACATGGGTCTATTGTCTATCAGTGGTGTGTTCGGAGAAACCCGTGTAAACAAACAACCCTTTTGAGACGGCGCCTGGCTATTGTTGCGTGGGGCTCCTGACTTGTAACACTATATTAGGAGAGTGGGGGAAGCCCCTGTAGCTGCAGTTCATGTGTGTTTCTTGCTCTTAAAACTATTGAAATTTACATAGGTTTTTTAAAGAAAGTTAAGTTGAAATTGGCATGAAGATGTTGCATAGAAGTTTTGCTTTTTTTGTTGTATAGAAGTTTTTAATAACATCATATATTAATTTCAAATTTTTAAATTATTAATTATTTTGTTCTGAATTTTCCTGACTATTGCCGGTGAGTTAGCTGATAAGCAGGACATTGGTGAGTGTGTGAGAGAGACAGAAGATAGATAAGGAGGACAGTCTAGCTCAACTGACCTTTGCCAACCTATTTCATGTTGTTATCTCAATAGACTCTCAATAGACTCTTCATTAAATCTGTACCTGATGATTTTCTACAAATACAAGTCTTTTAATTTTTTAATACTTTAGTAATCTGAATACAAGAATAGTATTGACTTTAAATGTTTAAACTTTAAATTTTTATTTCTTTATTTTGAAGCTACAGATTTATTTCATTTTTGCAATTTTATTCTAATTGATGAGAACAAATGAGCTCCTCAATGGTAAAATCTAGTAAAATAGGATGTGCTGAGCTGCAAATAAAACATTTGGTATTTGCCAAAGTTAGAGGCCATAAGCACTGGCCTGCACAAATTGAAAAGATAGATAACAGGACTCTTAAAACTGTCACAAAATATACAGTACGATTTTTTTCAACTAATGAGATAGCAGAAGTAAATAGAAATGATATTTCTAGTTACCATGAAAACAAATCAAAGTACACTCCTGAAACTGTTGCTGTAAGGCATAGAGATAGTTTTAAGGCTGCATTAGTAGAGATTGAAAAAGTATGGGAGGCTACAGGGCTACCGGATCGAGTAGGTAGTCCTGCTCCTGTTAGGAGTCCGAAAAATTCCTTGATTCAAAGAAATAAAATCAAACCACTTCAGTGCTCAACACCCATTGTTTCTACGCCTGATTCCCCCGATATTACACCTAATAGGGAAAAATGTGAAACAGGTGCGTCATTGGTGGACATCTCTGATAACGAAGATCTAAAATCTCAATTACTTTCCGTTAAAAATAAATGTACAGAAATAGAAAAATCTTTGATTGAAATGCAAACATCTAGAGTAAATTTTGAAAAGTCTGACAGAAGTTCCAACCAATTGAAAATTGACAACCAACAAAACGAGGATTTTCACACTAAAATATTGAAGCAAGAGTTAGCTAAAATTAAAACTGAAAACATAAACCTACTTAAAGCCATGGAGATACTGCATTCTGATTATAAAACGTTGGAAAATGAATATCAACAGTTAAAGAATACAAAATTTGATTGTATTCATTGTTTTCCTTCTCTACAACATGGTGCAGCGAGTCAGTGGAAAACGGTTGGTAAACATGTTGTGGCTCAAAACAATAATCAAGAGATTAGTTTTGAAAGTAAAAACCCTTTTGCTGTCCTACAAAAAAGTAATGAAGAAAATACTGACACTAATCAATCAAGCAATTTTTGTAGGCCAAAAGATAAAACAAATTGTCAACAACAAAAAAGCAGTGAAAATAAAGCACGAACGGATAAGTCAAAACTCATCATTTTGGCAGACAGCCACGGAAGAAACTTAGGCCACCTCATTGAACAAAGAACTAATTTCAATGTTTGCTCTTTTGTGAAACCAAACGCTACGTTCAGTAATGTGGTTGAATGTGCGAGAGAGAGGATCAGTGGCTTTGGAAAGGAGGATTATCTTTTGGTCATTGGAGGCACTAATGACGTGGAATCCCATAACCCTGAGCTTCTAAATAAAGTGAAAAATGTCATTGAGATATCTAATCATACGAATTTAATGATTGCTTCCCTGCCATGGAGACATGACAAACCAGAACTGGATGTTAAAATTGGAAAAATTAATAAAGATTTGGAGGACATTGTGGCTTTGCACTCAAATGTTTCCCTACTGCCCCTTCATCTTTTACCCCGAAACCTATTTACATCTCATGGACTGCACTTCAGCAACAGGGGTAAAATCAAGCTGGCTGAAAAGTTTAAAAAAATAGTTAGAGCCAACGAAGCAACAGAAGAGAAGTCTACTCTGAATTTTGACAACAAGAAAATTAATATTGTTGAAACAAACATGAGAATCATGATAGACAAAATGAGAGATGACCGGTCAGTGGGTTTTGCCCACACCATTTCTAGGGATTTTGCAGATCCCAAACATATGTCTGCTGGAGTTGCTGTTACCTTCAGAAATAAATTTGGAAGACCTCAGTCAAAGGACTACATTTCTGACAGATTGACTAAACAATGTGATAATGGAGCAACAATCTTCAGTCTGGTGACAAAGGAAGTGTATTGGGGAAAACCATCGAGGCTGGAGTATGACAATGCATTTATACAGCTGACGGAACAATTCAAATCAAGTGGACTTAAGACTCTTGTGTGTTCTCCGATGGGTTGCGTAAGAGACCTAATCCAACCAGACCATTTCATACAAAACCTTGTCGAATTTCAACGTGCGACTCAGGCCACTATCATCGTTGTTTCATATTTTCAAAGGTCTACCAGAATCCTGAGGAATGGACTCTCGCATAGGGACTTCTTGAGAGTACTGGAAAAATCAGTTGAGAAGTGGACTACTACTCCTAAAACAGAGCAGTCATTGTCAGGTGGTTCGTCTACAAGTCAGCAGCCAACACCGGAAGCTGACACTTCAAGTCACCTCCATCAACAGCCTTTCTCAACGAGATCATCCAGCCCTGTTGGTCAACCACAGTCAACTACACCAGACACCACTATGAGGTCACAGCAGCTATCCTCTCCATCCAGTGTGCAACAAAAAAAACTTGATGGCAAACCAAATTGTGAGTCCAACTTAGATTTTAAAAAGACGTCTTTCTGTGTTATCTGTAAGAACCATCATATTTCTTTCTTTTCAAATGACTCAGTACACAATACTAATTTTTCATGGCCAGTTTGTAGTGCAGCCAAAACTGATAATAAATTTAATTGGTTAATGCATTTGAATATTGAAGGTGGCATAGTAAACAAAAAGAATGATTTAGAAATAATACTATCTGATTCTAACATTTCAGTGGTTTGCTTGAACGAGCACTGGCTAAAAAATGATAATATTTTAATCTTAAATAGTATTCCTAACTATACTTTAGGACACTTTTATTGCAGGAAGGAAGGAATTCGTGGTGGTTCTTGCATACTATTAAGAGAAAATTTAGTATATAAAGTAAGAAATGATTTATGTGCCTTAAACGAAGATTATGTTTTCGAAATTTCTTGTATTGAAATTGTTACTCTAAATATTATTGTTGTTGCTATTTACAGAACACCTAATGTTGATAACTTTAAACATTTTCTTAGAAAGTTGGAAGGGTTATTAAAACTTCTGGTTAAAGCTACGTGTACTAAAAATGTATATATTGCGGCTGACTTTAATGTTGATGTACTGGATACTTCTAGCCACCCACAGAAAAAGTTAGAGTTCATTTCTATTTTGGAGCAATATGGTTTTAAAATAAATTTTTCCTCTCCAACAAGAATTACCAAGTCCACAAAATCCTGTATTGACAATATTTTATCACCAAAAATTAATCATCATCTGTCTGTATCAACAACAATGAATTTAGAATTAGGGATCTCTGATCACAGAGCATTATTTTTAAATATATTTAGTAAAACTGATAAAAATATAATAAATGGTAACAAATGTAAAAAAAGAATTTTCTCAGAAGAAAATACAGCAAAATTTATATATAATGTGAAAGAAACTTTCTGGAATGTATCTGTAAATAATTCTTTTGAAAATAACTGTTTAAATTTCTTTGGTACTTTTCAAAATTTATTTGAAGAGGCATTTCCTATGAAGTTTTATCATACCAAACCGCATAATAAAAAAAAGTCTTGGATAACAACCGGTATTAAAATATCTAGTATTAGAAAAAAGGGAACTAAGCAGACTAGTAAAGAAATCAAATGATAACAATTTCATTAATTATGTTAAAAGGTATAAGTTAACTTTCAACAAGGTATGCAATGAAGCTAAAAAATTGTATAATGCTAAATTTATAAAAGAATCATGTAACAAGAGTAAGGCTGCTTGGCTTATCATTAAATCTGAACTCGGTTGTAAAAAAAGTGACTTAAACTTTCCTGATATTAAGGTTAATGACAATCATCTAAAAAATGGCAAGGAAATTTCTGAATTCTTTAATAAAAAATTTAAAAATATCACAAAAGAAATTGGCATAATACCTCATGAAGAGGATGCACTAAAAATGACAAGGCATTCATTGGCAGGAAATCAACCTAACCAATTTGAATTTAGTTTTGTAAGTACAGAAGAAGTTATTAATAATATAAAATCTCTAAAAAGTAAAAAATCTGCGGGCTGGGACGGTATTCCTATCGATCTGATGAAAACTGTCTCTAATTTCATAGCTGAACCTTTATCTATAATTATTAATCAGTCTTTTCAAAAAAAAACTTTTCCAGACCATTTAAAATATGCAGAGCTCAAACCTCTCTTCAAGAAGGGCGAGAGACAAAATCCGGACAATTATCGACCAGTTTCCCTTTTACCATCATTTTCAAAAGTGTTTGAAAAATTAGCATCCAAACAAATCTCAAACTTTCTCGAGAATAACAATATTTTGGCTAATGAACAATTTGGTTTTAGAAAGCGCTTAAGCACAATGAAAGCTTTATCAGATTTTATTAGTGAGGTTTCATGGGCTTTGGATGGGTCACGGAGCACAATGGGAGTGTTTTGTGACCTATCCAAGGCATTTGACTGTGTCAACCATGATATACTTTTAAAAAAGCTAAAAATTTATAACTTTTCAAAAGAATCTGTTTTATGGTTGACTTCATACTTGACAAATCGATTTCAAAGAACAGTAATTTTTAAAAATAATGAAAAATCAATATCAGAATGGGAAAAAATTACAGTTGGTGTTCCCCAAGGGTCAATTCTCGGACCTTTACTCTTTATTTTATATATAAATGACTTGCCTAAAAATGTTTCCAACAACCTAGTTTTATATGCCGACGATACAACTGCAGTTGTCAAATCTAAAAATGATTCAGAACTATCTCTCAAAGTTAAACAAGCCCTATCGGAATTGGAACGGTGGTTCAATATTAACGGTTTAAAAATGAATCAAGATAAAACCCAATTGGTAAAGTTTTGTACTGCTCAGGCAAGAGAGTTTAGTGACCAAAATTTATGTGTTCAAGATGATGCAAAATTTCTCGGATTGTACGTAGACTCAAATTTAAATTGGAACAAAAGCATTGAAAATTTGATTAGTAGACTGAATTCGGCATGTTATCAAATGATATGTTTAAGAAACACAATTGACTTAAAAACTCGTTTGATGTTATATTATGCATACTTCTATTCAATTCTTCAGTATGGAATTGAATTCTGGGGCTTTGCATCAAACATTGATTTAATTTTTAAGATACAAAAAAGGTTTTTAAGAATAATGATATTTGCTCCTTGGAGAACATCATGTAAACCTATTTTTAAAGAATTAGGGATAATGACTGTTCCGAGTTTAACCATTTTTAAAACACTTTTGATGGTGGAGGGAAATTTTGAAAAATTATCTAGTGAAAATGTCAAGCATAAGTACGATACTAGGTTTAAATATAATTTTCAATATCCGCGGCACCGTCTTTCATTAGTAGAAAAAACTCCGACATACATGGGCAAAAAGTTTTTTAATAAATTGTCTCAAGAGCTCAAAAACAGAATACAGTCTAAGCATTTCAAGAGCAGCCTTACTAATTTTCTTTTAAGGAAAACATATTATAGTATAGATGAGTTTTTATGTGATCAAGATGTGTAATTATTTGGTATTTTAAATGCAATGTTTAAGTTTATCTATTTTGTCTACAACAATTATTTCTATTTTCATAGCGTTAGTTTATTTTATTCTTTTATAACTCCTTATATTAGGTAAAATTTAGTTTTAAGGTATTTGTATACTGTATTGACAATGTCACCTGTTTTATAGCATTGCTATATTTTGTAAACGTTATGTGACAATAAAGATTTATTTATTTATTTATTAAATATAACACAATTAAAATAATTCAGGCCAACTCAATTTGATGTTTTCCGTACATAAAATAATTAATTGTAGAAACGATTAGCAATTTTTACGTTTCGAAAAATTGTCGAACCAAATCAAAACGAATATATTGATATTTAAGTTAACTTAGGTTATTTAAGTTAGGTTATTTAAGTTAACGGTGAGGTAGGTATACCGTTAATATATTGCAAGTTCTCTGCTGTACTGTACCCAAAATAGACATTTGGAGGGTGTGCCTACTTTCAACAAACACAAAACTAGGTCTACAGAGAAGATGGATATATCAATCATCCTACCTTATTTATTTATTTCTTCCAACGGCAAGATCACCAATTTACAATGTGGATTCAAGAAGCTTATGTGGTAAGTAACAACATGCAAATTAACAGAAAACTTAACTACAGTAGCCTAATTCTACATGGCAGGAGCAACATCGGTAACAGAAAATATCATCTTGACTAGGAAAGCAACAATATAACAATGAAGTACAAAATAAAATATGGAAAAGCAATAACAATGATAAATATTTGATCCAACAATAACAGTTCTAAACAATCGATCAACAATACATTAGTAATGGTAGCTCAAACGGCTGCACTTTACTTTAGGTCCTACACTCATTCGAATGAAAATATCGATCGATTAATCGATTGTTTCATTCGATATAGGCTATCGTTTCCGGTTAGTTAGGTAACAATGGGACACACAAGGTTTTGGTGGCTGGGCCTCATATTTGAACCAGTCTTTAGGCCTATCATAAAAATACAATATTAAGGATAACTTACTTATAATTATTGCGATTTTTTTCTCCTTGACTAGTAAACTTATACAAAACATATAAGATAACCTACTTTTTAACATTATCAATCACAAGGGATGTCATGTAAAACCTAGGAAGGTAGGCTTTAATTGAGTAAACTTAATCCTAGGGATCAAATGAAGATTGGCCATACTTATACAAAAAGGTTTGATAAAAAGTAGGCTTATAGCCTTCTTGTAGCTCAAATTAGTTGTAGACACAACCCCTCAAATATACCTGAAGATAATGCTAGGCTAATATATATATACATAATTCAGTTTGTCTGTAATCACCGGTAAAAATTCTAACCTCAATCTTCGACTGTCTTGGGTCAAGAGCAAACCTTTTTTTATTCATTAAAAAATGACGTCGTTAGAAATTCTTAATCAATTGTATTATTAATCAATATTAATTACCTGATTAGTAACTGAAACCCTTTAGACGAAGTTCGGTTGGTAGGCTAAATCAGTGAGTGAGTAACATTCGTTTAAAAACATAACCTCTGGCGACTCTGCTGCTCCTGCTGAGTGCTGGCTTGGCTGACGCTGACCGGCTCCGGCTGACCTCTGAATCTGAATCACTCTCCACTCTCACTCAGTCACTCACTGAATACTGAATCTAATCAGATCAGTCGGTCGGATCTCGGATTCAAATTCGACTAGTGACTAGTGTAGTATACATGTTGCTCGAATCGAATTCGAGCAATTGCGAAGCTTTAAAGGCGTTATTTTAAAACGAATAACAGTAATAATTTCCGATGACTAAAGAGTCGACTCAAAGATTATAGAAATACTCAAGATGTACACAGCAGTTAGATATAATCAAAATTTTTTGCAAATAGGTATCTTATCTTTTTTCAAAAGCTGACCTTGTTTTTTAGTGTTTTCTACAAATTTTCCCCATTCATAGCCGCATTAGGTTGTCTATAATAACGATTATAAATGAAAAAAACATTATTTCTATTTCTACTACTGTACTTGGTTGTGTTCTATGACTTTTTTCCTGTTTCCATTGTTTGCAAATCGGATCTTTCAATTATTGCTCAAAAAATGTAGCACAGTGTTAGTTCAGTTTTATTTTTAGTATATCAAACTGTCCAGTATTTCTCACTTGTTTCCATTGTAATTTTAAAAATTACACCAACCAAGTATCGTCTGCTACAGATGCAATACGCCAAAGAATATCGTCTACGTGCAATCTCCAAGAAGTGTTAATAAAGGCAGAAACCTACCCATACCATAGATATAAGTTAACTCCATAAAAAATAATTTTAAGAGTTACTGTGATATTAGGATTTTCCACTGATTTGGCAATAGAACATTATATTGCAAAACATGGCACGATTCAGAAGAAAATTGATTTTAAAATCAGAACAAAAACCATTGCAAATACTTCATTTTGACAAATTTAGTAAATCAAAATGTTAATATTAACAGCTGTTTCATTTAAAAGTAGTGTAAATGTATGCATATGGTCGTAATGTAAACAAATCTGAGGAGGGAACTTTAAAAGGCCTCTGGGGCAGAGCCCCACGGGAATTTACCTCGTTCCTCTTTTGATGGCTCATCTACAGACTAAGACCTTTCTTTAGAGACTCCTATCAAGTTTCTACGCCCAGCCGTTCTCTGTAATTAGCTGTGACAAAACCCATTTTTCCTCCATAAGAATAACATAATATGGGAATTTAAAGGCCACTGGGACAGAGCCCCAAGGAAATTTTACCATCTGATTTTACAATGTCCTCAATATGACTACGATAGAGAAAAATATCCAATAAAGACCAAAGAATACAGCAAAATTTTGTCAAAGAACCTAACCGACACATTGAAAATTGCAGATGAAAAAATCCACGCTGAAATAAACAAATACTTAAAAGCAATAAAGAAAAGAATATGCAAACCCATAACACAAAACATATTACACAAAATACAGCTCAACAAGTACAATGTTTTTTCACCACACTATGACGTTTTTAGCTGTTTTACATTTTCTGCCCTAGGTACGAAATATACTATTTCACCACAATATGATGTTTTTAGCTGTTTTACATACGTTAATTGGTTGCTGAAAGTTACCTTTAGCTGGCCATGCCAGCTGTCACCGTCATTTGGAGACCGAACAGGTTTTTACATCCCTAGGGCAGCAAAATCAGCTGCCCGCTTATTTTCTTAAAACATTAATGCATATTAAATACACAATCAGTATCCATATAATTGCAACAGAATTGTTTTATTGTCACCACTGCCTAACAACTGTTTATTATTATTTTTGCTGATTCCTCAAATTATTTCTTCACATAACCTTAATGTTGTACTTGTTTTGACAGTGTGCATTATTATTGTGGCGAATATTGGCAATAGTGGTATAGTGTGGTGAAAAATAGCGTTCGTACCACGGACCGAAATGGTTTTGCAGCTCTCGATCGTTTTAAGTTCTCGACTTCGTCTCGAACTTAACAACTATCTCGAGCCGGCAAAACCTCATTTTCGGCCCTATGTACGAAATATACTATTTCAATCCATTGGGTGCTTCATCCGTGGCCAACCTTGTTTCGGGTTAGGACACAACATTGCAGAAATTCAACAATAGTCCTCACTATTCTGGCTCTTACTTCTTCAATTTATCACCACCACAACTCAAAACAAAAAAAAACATGTCGCCTTCAATAGTAAACTAAAACAATACTTAACAGATAGGTCATACTACACAATCTCCGAATTCATTGTAGAGCACACTTTCCATCACCTGAGACACGAATAGGCCTACAAATCCATTTTTACCCTGGTCCCAAGAAGAAATAGATTTCTTCCCCCCTTAACAGGGGTATTTTATTATTATTATTATTTTATTATTTTTGGGGGTGTATTTGCCCCCGAAGGGGAGGTAACTGCTCGGTGTTGAAATCGGCACTGCAAGTAGGCCATAGCTATGGACCTCTGGATACGCCAGCCCCTTAGGGGGAGTTCCCAGTGACATTCCTCCATCCAGGTTGGTGGGATGTTCAGCTCTGCAAGAGGTGGAAGTGCTCCATCAATCTCTCACCTGCCTGTGGCTATGGTTCTATGGGTTTAGGCCCGCTTGCTGTGTGCGAACAACATTCTGTGTGGCAAATCCCCGACTTTGGAAGTAGCCTTTCCTGGAGGTGAAAACGGGCGAGCACCCGTAAGCTCACGGGGACACTCTAGGGGAACGTAACTTTCCGCAGTGTGAGGGTAACGGCTGTGGGCACTTCCTCAGCCAATCCCTGTCCCTGAGCCCGGAAGGTATGGTTATCTAGAGTGTGGGGGTTCTCCCTGGAACCTCAATTGAGTTAAGGGTGTCGCCACCTTTGGTGGATAGGTTCATCCGGGTGGGTCCCACTTCTAAACCTGCCTCCTTTTGGGAAACCCTGATGGCCAGGCAGCGATGTTGGGCTAGTTGGGCAAACGAAGTAGATAGGGTGCTGGGTTCAAGCCCGCCAGGGGTAGCTGGGGATCTATCGCTCTTGTTATCTCTGGTTCCCAGCAATGGGTTGGCCTCGATCGGGTAGTGGTGTAAATAGGTGGTGGCCCCCCTCCTCCTGGCTATGATGGCGGGTTTCGGCCTGTCAGGGATTAGATAGGTCCCGAGTGTTGCTTGCACTAAATGCGTCAGGGCATTCCACTATGGTCCTTCTGGGTTTTGTACCTGGGGGAACCCAGGTGGAGTGGACGCTTGACCAAGTAGTCGGTATCTCTGGTTAGGATTGAGGGGCAACCCTCTTTCCGATGGGAGTACCATTTGGCAGCCGATGAGCCTGATGGCCTTAAGCCATTCACTCATGGTGTCGTAAAGGTCAGTGCGCAAGTTCTGGCTGGCATCATGGGTCCCGGGTTATGTAATATGTACCGGGCGACCGTCTGAGAGTTTCGGCTCTTTGGACAAACACTAAGTCTAAGTCTAAGTAAGGGTCCCAGGAAGAAGTTTGACGATTCCCCGATCCCTGGATTGTGGAGAAGACACCGGATGGTAAATGGACATTGCTTTATCGGCCCCAAGCAGAGAAGAGTCACCTTAACCTTCCATTTCATGAAATCCGTCAAATATTTAGAGTCCCGAATCCCACTTTTAATTATAAAATACGACATACCACATCTATGCTTTTTTACTGACAAAAAATGTATTCACCTTATCTGGAACTTATCTGGAAAATAAGATTGTATCGTTAATGGACAACCAGATAGAACATTAAAGTCTCATGGGTATAAGCCCCAGACCACCTTATCTGCAAGGAAAAAACCCTTATTATTATCAGTTACTTTAAACTCGACGTTCTGTACCCACGGGCACATCTACTTCCACATTATGCACAGGGTAGGGGAGGATCTGGGGGAGGGGAGGATAGCAGAGTCGCTCGTGGGTACAGAACGTCGAGTATTGGATAGTTGTCGGCTGTCACTGGGACTGGGTTAGCGGTTAGCTTTCTGCTTTCTTGTAATTGGCTTATTTGATTATTCTGTGTTAAAACGTAGATTTGATATTAGGCCTTAGGCCTATGATTGATACCTGCAACAATTTATTAAACCTATACGAGACCCGCTCTTTATGAACAAGGTTTTAATTTAACGTTGTCATGAAAACCTTCGATAATATTGAGGTAAGCTATGCGGTGATAACGCCTTGAAAGGTTATCTTTAATCTTTTGGATTCTAAGAACATGTAAATTCAAATATTATTAAAATTACCTACGAAGTAGGCCTACATACACTTTAAGCTTTGAAAACTTAAATATAACTTTGTAAATTCATTGACTAGCCTATACTGTAATTTGTTAATTATAATTTGTAATTATACCGTAATCTACTACTACTACGGTAATAGCTTATTCCCTATATGGGAAATTCGCTAAAACAAACCAATATACACAAGTTATGTATACGCACAAAAAAAAACTTTTCCAAACGCAATATTGCAACAAACCCACATTTATATAATCCATATGATTAAAACCTGACAACATGCCTTTCTTTTTAAATTTTGGTGTTTGTTGAGAAAAAGATTTATAAATTTTGTGAGGGCTTTAACATGTACTAGTTGCTCTGCCCGTGCTTCGCTACGGGGTGAGAATGCAGAACAGAATAATTCGGTTTTACTTTAAGATACTATATTATACTAAGAGAAATAGTTACACCACACTTACCAGGAAACATATAGGCAAAGACTCAATCATGCTTATTGATTATTTAAATTAAGATATCTTAATGATTAAAGATATCTTAAATTATAATCTTTGACTGGCTGGGTAGCTGAGTGGTTATAGTGCTCGCCTAGTAATCAAAAGGTCGCCGGTTCGATCCTGAGAAAAGTTAGTAGCTTTTTGATGGTTCGAAACTGGACCCAGCTGTTCCTGATCATTGGGCTTTAAATAAATGATCCTGACTAATGAAACCGCTGATCTTAGTCAGTAACAAAGCTACACAGGTCATCACACACCATTCTACACTCATCCTTCACTCATATTTGGGTTAAAATACGCACCTAGGTGGCGTCCCCATCTCAATAATTGATTGATTGATTGAATCTAGTTCTCATAGCCTATTGCCTGCTACTCGATTATGTTGAAAGCATTAAGATTAACTACCAGACATACCTATTAAAGTGTCCCAAGATGAATCACTCACAGAAAGTGTTGTTTTTTTGTTTTTATCTAGGGTATTAATTGTTGCATTGTTATCCTTTGTTGTTAGTAAGAAATCAAACTGTTTTGTTAATTTTTTTTCAATGACTCAAGTTTTTGTTTTGGATCCACATGTCACTTATAACGGCTGAACTTTCTGTCCTACACTCATTCGAATGAATCAATATAATTTATCGATTATTTCATTCGATAGGCCAGAACTTAACTTATATCAAGTTTAGTTAAGTTAACCTAGCCTAAACAACCAAATGAAATAATGGATATGTAGAATAATCTATATATCGATATTTTTCATTCGAATGAGTGTAGGACAGATTTTACTAAAGTGCAACCCTCATATAACTCTAACGTTCTAAAAACGATTTGTCTTCCACCTGTAAAGGAGGACTATCAGAATCATCTATGGTCTCTCCTACAAACACACTTGTAGAGGTGTGTTTAAATCATTATTAATTTTAAAACACTTTAACCGAAACACTGGACCTGAGGGAAAATTGATTTTTCTGTAGTGGCAAAACTGCTGGAAGAGCGTGCCCCTACCCCTCAGTACCTACCTTTGCCCCCTCCTACTCTTCTCCCTACCCCACTCATCAGCGCCATTCACCAATCAGCGGTCATTGAGTGAACATCTCCATTTTTAAAATGTGGTGGTCTCTAGTGCCGGACCTTTCGAGCTCAACGTATATCGCGCTTCCGGTTTCAAGTACCGGATGTTTCGATTAGTGGATTGTTGATCTGTTGTATAATTTTTTAATCCCTTATAATTTATTACGGTACTTTACTGTTTTTTATGCGGGAAAATTTAAGCGATGGAAAGACAATCAACCTATAAGAGTGTCAATGTTCATGACTATGACTTAGACACTCGCATCAATAGAATGCTTTATAACAAAGTGTCCAAAAATGAAAGCTCATGTGAAGAAATAGACGATTCTGACAAGGACCCAGCCTTTGTTCTACCAAGTGATCATGAAAGTAGTAGGCCTAGTAGTGAAGATGCAGTAGTTGAAGATGCCGCCCTTCTTGATCTCAAGCTATGGAAACTGATGAAAACGTTCCACAAGCACCTGCACTGCCTGATTTATGTTTACAGACGGTTGAGGAAAAAGGAGTTTGGGCCTCCCTACTGGTTGATAACTAAACCAAGACAACAAAATGTGCGGACACTTGCACGAAACATCATCAGGGGACATCTCTACCAGGCTTAAAAGGACCAGCTCCAGTGTTTGGAAACAAACCTGCAAAAACTCAGGCATGGAATTTGTTATTTGATGAAAGTATGCTCAACTCAGATGTAAGTTTTACAAATCAAAAACTTGCAGCAGTAAGATCTACTTTAGAGGCAACAACAAGTAAGTCAAATTACCGTGCTACAGATAGTGTAGAAATGAATGCCTTCCTTGGCATTGCCTACTTGCTAGCATCCTGTAAAACAACCATGAGGATATGACTTCACTATTCTCAAAAGAGCACACCACAAACAATCAAATAAGGCAGCAGCAGTGAGTGAGATTTTTGAAAAGTTCATTGAGAACTGTCAGAAAGTAAATTGTTTGAGTGAATACTTGACAATCGATGAAATGTTGATTCCCTTCTGTGGAAGGTGTGCCTTCAAGGTGTACATGCCAAAAAAGCCAAACAGATATGAAATCAATGTCCAGTGTTATTGTGATTCTAGAACGTCATATTTGTACAATGCCTACATTTACACAGGAAAAGACTCAGACGGCATTGGTCTTACTCCTACAGAGTTGCAGCTGCAAAAGCCAACTCAAGCAGTCGCTTGTCTTTGCAAACCCGTGGAACACACTAACAGGAATGTGACCTGCGACAACTGTATTGCATCTATTGAGTCGTTGATGTGTTGGCAAAAAAAAAAAGGGTTTTACCATGGTTGGCACCTTATGGAAGGATAAACTTGTGATTCTCAAGGAGCTTTTAGCAAGCCGTGAGCGACCGGTGGGATCATCTTACTTCGCCTTAAACAACAACCTAACTTTGGAATCAAGAATTTTTATTCATCGTAAAGCGCTATGTACCTACATAACATGCAATGGATGAACGTCATTAAACTAACAGTAGCCTAAGGTTTACAGGCAATATAAGAGCAAACTTAATATAAACAAGTGCAGTGTATACATGCAAAGTATCACAGTCATCTTAAAATAAAATACTGTAGGTTATAAAAACATGCAAAGACTAGAGCAAACATGAAAACCGGTGCACTGTGTATACAATACATGCTGTGTGTTTTGTAATAAATTAGTAAAAACATAGCAGGGGCAAGAAAAGATAAAATTTAAAATACAATACTTACAAACAGACATATAAACACTTATAAAAGAACTCAGCCTTTGGCTATATCACAGACAGACAGAATTTAAAATTGAATATCAACATCAGGTAATTCAAAGAATTTGGTATCATATGTTCCAAAAAAAAAAAAACCGGTCGGTCGTGCTGATCTCATTTATGCAAGAAGTATAGGAAATAGATGAGGAAAAGAAGAAGCCTGAGGTAATCAATTTTTATAATAGGACAAAGTGTGTTGTAGACCTGTTGGACATGAACTGTGCCATCTATGGATCAAACAGGCGGACCCGACGATGGCCTATGGCAGTAATCTATCGACTCCTAAACGTTTGCAGTGTGAACTCATTTATATTGTAACTTTGCTACAGAGACTCACCAATTATTACAAGGTTCAAGTTCCTGAAAGAACTGGCTCAGGAACTTATTGAGCCCCATATGAAGCGCCACCTTCGCGCTGTAAGAGGAGAAAAGATGCTTGGGGGAGAAGATCCACAAGTAACACGCAACGGAGTGCCTGATGACAAGACGCCGAAGAGAAAAACGTGCAGCAAGTACCCATCGGCAAAGGAGAGAAAGACTCTGCTGCATCCGGTGCACAAAACCAATATGTCTGGAATGTAGCTGCAAAGTGTGAATAGACTCCAGATTGTATGTAAAAGAGTTCAGGCAAGTACATTCTTATGATTTATTTTATGTTGTACGTTTTATGTTGTGTTATGTTTTGTGATTTGTAGGCAGTTGTTTATGTAATAGGTAGCTTTTTTTTTAATGAGCAGTAAAGTGTGCATAGACTATAACGGTATGTAAAATACAAGTTCAGACAAGTAGATTTTATGATTTGTTTGATGTTTTATGTTTCATGTATGTTGTATGTTTTATGTTGTGTTATGTTTTGTGATTTGTAGGCAGTTGTTTATGTAATAGCTTTCTTTTTTCAAAAAAAGCTGTAAAGTGTGCATAGAGTGTGACTGTATGTAAAAGACAAGTTCAGACAAGATGAATTTTATGATTTGTTTTATGTCTCCAGTATATTGTATGTTTTATGTTTATTTTAGATTTCATTACACTTTTTGTAAATTGATATTACTTCTTATAATACATAAATTTTATACTAAAATGTTTGTTTTACTTTCCTTAAACCCGCATATACTAAAAAAATACTAAATCTAAGATTTTACATTAAATTCGCTGATGACAAATCGTCCGGTCTCTAAGACCAGTGTCAACATTTCCCTGTAGGCCTAATAAGTTATTCTGAAAGCCCTCACTTTTCTAAAGTCAAAAGTAATCTATTTTCACACTGTAATTACCCAGTCATATCTGCTTTGTTATTTAACTCCAATCTGAGAATACCAGCACATTCAACTAAGTTGCCTTCTTTGAAATACATCTCACTTAACTTAATGTCATCAAACTTTTCAATGTTCTTCCTCATAAAATCCAGTCCACATATCAGACCTGGTATGCTTCAAAAGGCAGGGCCACTTAAAAGACAGTTTTTGCAGGTTAAGGCTATAAAGTGTCCATTCATTTCTTGCTGACGAACAGATTCTATAAATTTAAATTTACACAACCCTCTTCACTGAATATTTTCTGGTTTTCCAGGGGTTCAGACCTGTACCCCTTGCACTGAAGTCCAAGGCACTATGTTAACCACTAGGATAGCTATTAGGTTTAAGTTTTGTGGTGTTTAAGCTACGTTGTTGGCGATTATGGTTGATTGATTGACTGTTACGACCAAACAGTTCGTGTAGGAAACGACAACTGAATCACATCCCTTTATCTAACCAGACGAGACAATTTACCGCTAATCGCAGGTCCAAAGAGCCAGCTTTGATGATTATTAATATTAACTGAACCATTTTAACTAACTTACAGAAAAACTATTGTCTTTGAATATATGCATTAATTATTAATCAGACAACTAGACACAAAGTTAACTAAGATTTGAGCAAATATTGAGATTGAAAAGTGACACTACAAATTAAGATAACCATTTTTGACTACAGATCTGAAAAGAACAATTGTGGAATCTAGCTGTACCTACGGGCTTCACCCCGTTTGACTTCACAAGTATTAATAAAACCATCGATTCGTTAAGTTAAGCTGAAATAAACAAAACAGTATACAGTAATACAAACAAATAAACTTTAACTGCAGGAGTCACCAGGTTATTTGACAAATTCTATGGCGTGCCAATTAGTTCCTTCAGTGATTACAAATGCCTATTAAGGAGACTCTGGTGAAAGAGGCTTTGTTTTAAAATCACTTTGTGCGAGGACACTTGTTTGCACCGTATTAAGTAGTTTGATGGCAAACCATCGATAAGAGTTTATTGTGTGACTAGGCTGATTGTGAGGTAGATCTATGTCACACGCTTTATGAGTCCCATAGTTATGTTGCATGCTTCTAGCTGAGAAAATTGTCGTGTTGTGTTTCTAGATTAGTAAGGTGTTAAATACGTCTTGGCTGTTAGACAATTAGAATAATTAGCTCTTTGAAAATAGGATGAGAGCGGTCAGTTATAGGCCTAGTGTGTCTTAAAGTCTTCTTCTGTAGCAGCAGCTTCACTGGGCTGCACGGCTATGTTCACACTTTGCCAAACAAGAAGATAAAGTCAGAATAGTTGTATAATAAACGTAGAGTGTATTGTAGTAAGTCTTGTGAATCGTTTTTGAGTCTTCAATCATTATAAGTTTAAAGAAATTGTATCGATAGTTATTAAACTCAGCAGCCTTACATATTTGCTTGCAGTTGCCTTTTGGCCCACCTCCTGTACTTCCAGATGTAACAAAACAACTAGAAGATTATTTATTGAATCCAGAACGTTTACCGATCCATGACTATAAAGAATCACAGGTGTTCTGGCCAAGGAAGCCCAATCCATCAGCATTATACTTCGCTGAACTATGCCCACCGGCAACAACACTCAAAGTAAGTAGGCACTAGTTATAGGTATAATACCCCCGCCGCAGCAAACCTGCAGACTAAGCGAATTTCAACTTGTCTGATTATATTTCTGCTAAAATATTTCCATAAATAAGACATAGGTTATGTATTCCCTATTTAAATAACATTAGATTTAACGAGTGCTTAGGTTTGCTGCTACGGGGAAGGTAAAAAGTGTTTTTGGACCATACGTCAATAGTATAGGATGAAATAAATAAATTTGCATAATGTTATCAATATATATCCATAAACAAGTAAAGTACAACAATTTTCATTTTCTCCATAAGAATAACATTGGAATGTTAAATTACACTATTTTTGAATTTTCTCCGTGACAGTTAGGCATACAACAGCGCTTCAATATACTAAATTATTTCTTTTTTTAAGCTCTACAAAACGGTTTAGAAAGAAATTGCAAATTTTTTTGTTTTTAGGGTCAAAAATGGGAAAAACCCATTTTTACCCCATAAAACCCCCCATAAACCCCTGTTCCCATGGTCCGATTATGCTAGATCACGAACTCGTTCGAATAAATATAGGTTTACACGTTTGTACCAAATTTCATCAAAATCGGATCATTTTTGCTTGAGTTATCGCGCTAACGGACATATATATATATATATATATCTATATAAATAAAATTACAGTTTTGTCTGTACATTGCTTAGAATCATGCAGTTTTTGGTTATTTTTACGTTTCATAGCCTAAGAAAGCCGAAACGAGTCTTATCTCAATTTCTGTCTGTATGTCTGTCTGTCTGTTTGTCCATTCTGTGACTTCGTCTGTAACGCCAAAATGTCATTTTACGCGGCCTACTCCTTGAAAACTAGAGTAAAGATCAAGATTCCAATTATTTTTCTGTATTCACTGGATTGGCGAGAGTGTCTTTGGCTATTAAAATATGGCCTAACTACTTTTGAAAAAATATAACAAACAATCAAAAACCCAATTTTGTTAGATTTTTGTCAAATTTTCCCCCAATGTTTACTATTACATTTTATGAAATAACGATCTGCTGTTTGGATTAGTTCTCATTTCTAGCTGTCACTGATATGTTTACATTAAATACTGTTTACAAATACCGCAACCATTTCCGATAAAGTTTTGTTAGCACATCCAAACCAAGTTAGATTAAAACCGTTGTGCCTTACTTAACCGGTTTAATTAATCGCAAGTGCAACGATTGTTCTTAAGTTTTTATAACCGGGGAAAATACTGAGAATCAGTGTTGTGAATCAGTGCTGGGAAACTTACATTTTTTTAATCATCGTCACCAATAGTTTAAAAAAAGGTTTCCATTCAATGACGGCGTAACAAAGACAGTTGTGTAAAGTGCAAAGTAAAAAATCAACTGCAGTGGGTGATCGTGGATGTTGCTGTTATCTTGGAAGTTCTTTCTAATTTCACTGTGATCGTAACATATGTTTAACTTACAGATGTAGCTAAAATCGCAACTAGCTTTTTCCAATGTGTCACTTTCGGTTTCTACTTACTTACATTTCGACAACGACATCGGTACTTTTTCTACTTAGGAAGTAAAACTACAAACGTCCAAAACCCCAGATTTGTGCGTTTTTTGTCACATTTCCTCCGAATGATTGCTAGATATGTGTACCGATTATAGTTTAGAGATTACGTAATCTTTTAAAAAAGAAACCTTTGTTTGGATAAAGGTGGTTTCTTCAAACTGTCATTATATGTTAACATTAAAAGTTGCTTACAAATAAATGGGAAATAACTATAATTTTCGAAAACTTAAAAAATTTAAAACCAAGGGAGATTAATAGCTTCGGTATTGCACCACATCAAGTGAATGTTTTTTTTAGCAAACCATATATAATAATATAATAGTGAGTTTTTAAAGCTTTACGTCGTTAACGTTACATGTTTTGTGGCCTGTGTATTTATTTATTTATATATTTTCCAACGAATTACCACCTATAATACAGTTTTATTAGAAGGACAGTTTGAATTGGTCGTAATCGTAAGTACTATAGTTCTTTTCTTAAATGTAAACGTTGGTTTTTGGTACTGCTACTTTTCCTTAGAACTGGTGGTAGCAGCAAGAATAATATTTACGTACAAACACATCACTATTTACAACTATAGTTATCGTTAGTGCTGTACCTTATTTCTTATTAAATTTAATTGATGTCTTACTGTATATAATTTTATTGCGTTTTCTGTCTGGACTCCAAAATGTTACTTTATGCTATGAAAATGATAATACATTAGTGAACGATTTATTTAGCAAACCATCATGAATTTTTAAAGCTTGGCGTTGTTAACGTATAAATGTTTTGTGGGCTGTGTATTTATTTAATTATTTATATATTTGCCAACGGATTTACACCAATTTTACAGTTTGATTAGGCCTAAAAACGGTTATTATAAAATTTGATGACACTATCATAACTTTCAAATAATTGTAATTTGCTTTGGTTAAAGTGTAGTAAATCCCCTAATTCATTTCTGTATTTGTGTGTGTAAGCCTGTTGGTAACGCATTAATCTCCTTATTACTCAGTGTTTCGTGAAAAAAGAGCACCTTTGTTAATGCAAATTTCAACCCGAATAAAGTGTGCAGTAGTGAGGTTGAGGTAGTATTTTTACTACTTTTAACCAGTGTGAAAAGTAACTTTCAATTACAGGCCTCCGTAAGTTAAGGGCTATGCCTCATAGATCTATAAAGCAGTTCCTTTTATCATTAGATATAAAATATGGACTAACATGATCGGTTGACACTTAATTGCGAAGCATTCGTTTTGGCTATGAAACTGTCAGATATTGTGTTTGCGAAGGTTTATTATGTATTCCTATACAGTAATAGTTTAACCAGCATATCTGGAAAAATGCACACTAAATATGCAAACCAACTCCTGTTCTGAATATAAGGTTTCAACCTACTACGGGCAAACAGCTAGTATATATATATATGAATTTGAAGGGATGGTGTTTTTGGCCTCTAGGGACCTCAAAACGAAAAAAAAATCGGTGCCGCGTCCAGGTTTTACCATGAGTAGCCTACTACGGTAATAGCTTATTCCATATATGGGAAATTCGCTAAAACAACATGCTACATCAATAATCAACTAGGTAGGCTATCAACTATAGAATAAAACTATTATTCATTCCCACAGAGTCACGAGCCTTAAGTTTGCGTTTGAGTTAAGAAATGTGTATAAGTTACAAAATGAATAGGTAATGCTTTAGTAGTTCCTTTTTAAAAATAATTGGCTGTAACCATTATTGTAGTACATTACCGTACCGTACTCAAAAACTAATCAAAATGTTGTATTTAATCTTTTACCCTCCAAAAACTGTTTGATATTTTTTCATCAAAATCCATTTTTCAATGAACAGTAAATCATTGTTCTTAGTTAGTTGGCCCGGATCCCTTACAGCATGGGCTCTGTCCTCTCTTGCAGGTACTGAACAACGTCACTGAAAACACTTTTTAAGTGTAAGTTAGCTACTACAGTTTTCATTTTTAAATGTCAATATTTCATAAATAGTTTTTCTTTGTGAATTATTTGAATAAGCCTAAAATTCTGTGTTATTTCTTGAGTTTTGAATATAAGTTTCTTATCATTTCACAGTCTATAACTAGGCCTAATGTATCTTTGTAATTGTCCAAAGGTTATACGAGACCCAAACAGTGGTGAAATTCTGGATATTTGTGAAGTGGAGAATTTAGATTCAAAGCAAAAAAAAATCTCTCGAGAGGACATTGATGATGATTCTGAACTAGATGAATTGTTGAAAGTTCCCACGCTTACAGATTTTGATTTTGAAAGCAGTAGGTATTCTAATATTTTTTGGGTGCATTATAGGCTAGTCGTCACAGTAGTGTTGCATGAAGTGTATGGTCTTTGTTCATACCTATAGTGTTTTATGATATTTTGCTACTGTGATAAAGAAATACTTAAATTTTAAAATAATCACTTACTATTTCATATTGCTTATTAAAATGAGAAACAACACCCTCTTTAAAAATAGGCTATGTTTAGACACTATTTTTAATTTGTACTTTTATAAATCTGCTGTTTGATATTTTATGAATGAGAATGACAGTTATGACTTTAGATTATCACATTTTGTTAGACATAAAATCATCACATTTCACGTAACCCTCCTTGTAATATTACTTTGGATACATATAGCATGTTTCAGTTATCCTCTTCTGACCCCAATCCAACACCTAACATGTAATTTTTATTTTGAAACATTTCCTGAGTGGTTACATCTATATCATTATTAGGAATACAGTTCACAGTAGTAAGTTACGTAAGTAAGTAAGGGTTTTAATAGTGAAAACCCAACCCCAGTATCAATCCTGAAAAACCGAGTTGCGCACAGTACATTATGGATGCTCAAGGAGGTCCTTTTATGTAGAGGATTATGGATGAAGATCAAATCATTGGTGGAATTGAAAATAATTAATATATAATTGAAGCTTGCAGCAAATATTTCATACTTGACACCCTTAAAGACTCATATTTATGAGGCCCTAAAATAGGAAAACAATATTTATGTTCCTGCCTAATTTTTTATAAAATAATCCAGACATCTCAGGATTGACGGCCGGGTCCATCTAATGTATTCTCTTACTTTTATTTGGTCACTGTCTTTTCAGATTTTCTTACAATTCCACCTGGATTCACACAAGGATTGGAATTTGCCGAGGATGGCTGTACCCCGATTAGCAGAACTTCTCATGTCAATGATGAAACTCTTCCTGTGGTTGACCTGGTTCAAGAGAAAAGTGTCGTAGAAGAGAAGAACGTAGTTAATTTAATAAATTTATTGAATCAAGAGCAGGACATTCTTGGCCTGTGGAAAGAGCCAGCCAAGGAGCCAGAGCACATCAACAATAAAGCTCCCACTATTGAGCTGAGGATATCACAGAATGATGAAGAGGAGGAAGGTGTGATTCCAAAGGTATCAATTTGTTTTTCTACTATATTTTAAATAATTTCTGTATTAGGAGGTTACTAGTGGCTTGTAGGGGCAATAGCCCCTATATATACAGTATATGTAATATATTCTAATAATTATTTTGTACAAATTATTTGTCTCATGGGTTACCGTACCCTACCTTGAATTATCGTTTAAATTTTTTGTATATTATAATAATGTATAACAGTTATCACATACCTGCATAATTCATTTTTATGTCTGCTCTGTTTAGGATAAAAATTCAAAAGGACTCTTCATGTGGTGGGTTTGTAACATAAATTTTCTAATCATAATACAGCAAAAGAACATTTTCAATAATCTTCACTATTAATTAAATATATATACATTTTTTTTTAATATAGACAAATTCACTTAGAAAAACACAACACATAGAGATAATGTCATCTTCCAAATTGTAAAATACTAATTCTGTAACAAAATCTCTCTGAAAACAACATTTGTTGTGTAGTATCCATTTTGGTCCATTCCTTGGTCTTTATTTGTTTCTATTTCTATTTTAACGTCATCTGGCCGCTTTACCTGGCTAAAAGCAACATAAAGTTGACCATGGGTAAACACTGTTTTTTTTTTTTTTTTAATAAATTCCAACTTTTGGGAAGGTTTGGCCTTGCGCTTTATTTATAGTAATGGTGAAAGATAATCGCAATGGGAATTGAATCCTTTGTAAATTTAAAGGGCATATTAGGATCTGTAGATATTAGTTTTATTTTTGACATGAAAAATATGTTCCCTTTCCCTACTCCAGTAATTACTACTAACTTTACACTTTTTTCAGACATACCCAACACAACCAATCGTACTCCATTAACTAATCCAGACCCTATTTCTTATGAGCATCACTATTGAACCAACTTTTAAAACTAATTTGTGTAGTGGCATTCCAGATGGTGTAATTGAATTTATAAACTCAATTGGTATGTTCAACCTCTCTGTAGGGTCTTCTGAAACTACTTCATAATTACTGTAGTAGATTTTTAATACTTCTTCATTTAAATTATCACAATGTTCATTTAAAGGGCATACAATTATTTGATTGGAGTAGTTTTGAATATTTTCTGGATTTATTGAGTTGCCATAAACTATTGCACAATCAGAGAGAACAAAGTTATCTGGAATGTCAATTGCCGGTGTTGCCCTATTGCTCTCTAAGATTCCATTACCTAATATAAGCGTAGAAGCCAATCACAAAATGCTGTTTCATTTTCATTTGCACGCATGTTTACTTTCAAATGCACTATAGTTACATACAATACATATATTACATACTACCTTTAACACTATTAATACAACTTTTGTAGCCAATAGTAAATGATATTACCATATGCTTTAAATAAATCTAAACCACATGTTTTAAAGTAAACAAATCGGACATGACCTGGATTCCCATGCTATTTAAATGTGATTTATTTTATCCTGTAATAACCTTTTGGTGCATAAGTAAGAAAAATGAGTATTTTTCCCCAAAACTTCATGCCCAGACCTTTAAAATGAGACCCCTTCCAGCTTTCTACGGCCTCCCGTTCGCTCACAATTTCATTGTAAAATTTTGGGCTTACGGAATTAGATATATAGATAATGAGACACAAATGTTCCGTTGAAGTGGTCATTCAACATTTGGAGTTCCAAAGGCTAATGGGTCGAATCAACAGCCGAGCGGTCTAAGATGCTCTCGTAGCCAGGAGACAGCCCTGTAGATTGAGGGCTTGGTCATGAGGATTTTACCTATCAGTATCAGAGTTTGGTAGGAGAGGCCCATCTAAAATAAAATTACATGGGAATAATAAATTACCAACCAATAATAAATTAAGGAACATCTAAAATAAAATTACATTAAAATAAAATAAATATACATCAATACATCTCAAATACTTTTGTACAAAAACCCAGTATTATTAGTTTATTAGTATAGCATGTTCATCTATTTACACTTGACTCTGTACATTGTACTTTGAATTGTATATTATATCCATTGACCTGGCCTATTGTATGACATGTATACTTAATGGCAATAAACTATTTGAATTGAATTAAAATAAACGGTGGGGTCAATCCATATCAAGTGATCCAGAAATAAAATAATTGGTTGCTTGACCATTTTTAAAATAAATAATAATTTTATCCTAGATACCTCTATCAATTCTGGGTTCAAAAGTGATTTTAATTTTTTTTTATCTCTTTTGTTACTTCTACGGCGGCCATTTTTGTTTTGCGGAACACGTAAATTTTTGCTCATGTAAGGGTTTGCGTTAACTTGCACAACTCGGTAACCATGAACACTAGAGTGATGAAACAAAAAGCATTTTAATCTGGAAGAAACAGCCTAAATATTATGTTCAGTACATATTTATTGAAATGTGTATCAAAAACAGTTTTAAACCCATCTCAACATTTCACAAGAAAACGGAAAAATTTCAACTTTTGAAGGCGTATTACCATTGGAACGAATAAAATCTCAGACTTGATTTTTTTTGTGTGTGTAGCAACCCAGTAGAACTGTTTGTATTTCAAATATCAACCATGAGACTTAATTCCTTTAAAAGTTATCATTTTTCAAAAACTGAAATTTTTAAAAAAATTCAAATTTTGAGTCTCAATATCTTTGTTGGGACAAAGTTTAAAAATCTGAAATTTTTACCAAAAACCCCTCTTATGGTTGTTATACTGCTGTATGAATTTCATCTTTGAGATTTACTTTTAAGCTAAGTTACAGTATCATGAAAATCACAAAAAACCCATAAGCTCGGCCAACGTGGCTAGTACTGTAGGTAGCTTAAAGATTAATTTATAGGTGTAGGTAATTATTTTATTTAATGTAAAATTATCTTAATGTATATTTCAAAAATCCAAAACAGATTTTAACAGTTTAAGTTAACTTTGTACCCAAGTACAAATTAGGCCAATATGTACCGCTACGGTACTAAAAATAAATAAAATCCTGTTAAATTTTAAGTTTTATTCATCGTTTAACTAAAATAAAACTTAGTTAATTCTATTTATATTGAGGTCTTAAAATTTATTTTCCATTTAGATTTAATATACCGGTACCGTAACCTGTATAACACAAATCAATAAAGTGGTATTTTGAAAAAAAAAACCACTCATATTCTGTGGGAACTGATACAGTCTCCAGTACCTACAGGAAGTCGTAAATGAGTCACAAAACACAGTTTTTCTTAACAAAATAATTCATTTTTATAACAGATGAAGAAATCACTCAACACCACAACAACAAACTCCTGGACCGATTTGAGAACTGTTTAAAGATTACTGGAACAAGAAGCTTCCATTGTTTTATTCCTGTACCGGACAGTAGTAATGTTAGGTGCTTCGTAACCTCACTAGCAACTGAAAGCTGTAAAAATTACACTTCATACCAAAGACTCTATTGCATTTGTGTATGACAGTGGTGGGTGGCAGAGGTGATTGACATCAGTTATCAAAATAAAGATCCAGCAGGACCAACAACCAACCGCCTTTAAAAAAAATTAGAAAGACCAAGCTTGGGTGCCTACAAACAAAGTTTTGAGAAAATTAAATCTCTTTTAACTGACAAAAACCACTGGAAGGACAAACCCAAACTGAATGAAGAAACATCCAAACTTCCTAATTAGCATGATCAAAGTAGAACAAAAAACACTAAAAAGTAAAAAAAGTTGTATACTTTAAGAACTTGTCTTTCAAACAGCTTTTGTATGTGAAATTTCTAATATTCTTTATTAAAATGAAAGTGGTTCAATAAATTAATAAATGAGTTCAAAATATTTAGGCCTATTGAAAAAAAGGTGTAAATCTGAATGAAAATAATCTGATAAAAAGTTTTTTTTTAATTTCACATAAGACAAGAAATTTGCAAGAAAAGGCTATAGATTACTTTAAAGTAAGTTAGGTAAGTTTACATTAAATAAAATAATTACCTACACCTATAAATTAATTTTTAAGCTACCTACAGTACTAGCCGCGTTGGCCGAGCTTATGGGGTTTTTGCGATTTTCATGATACTGTAACTTAGCTTAAAAGTAAATCTCAAAGATGAAATTCATACAGCAGTATAACAACCATAAGAGGGGTTTTTGGTAAAAATTTCAGATTTTTAAACTTTGTCCCAACAAAGATATTGAGACTCAAAATTTGAATTTTTCAAAAAATTTCAGTTTTTGAAAAATGATAACTTTTAAAGGAATTAAGTCTCATGGTTGATATTTGAAATACAAACAGTTCTACTGAGTTGCTACACACACAAAAAAAATCAAGTCTGAGATTTTATTCGTTCCAATGGTAATACGCCTTCAAAAGTTGAAATTTTTCCGTTTTCTTATGAAATGTTGAGATGGGCTTAAAAGTGTTTTTGATACACATTTCAATAAATATGTACTGAACATAATATTGAGGCTGTTTCTTCCAGATTAAAATGCTTTTTGTTTCATCACTCTAGTGTTCATGGTTACCGAGTTAAGTGCAAGTTAACGCAAACCCTTACATGAGCAAAAATTTGCGTGTTTCGCAAAACAAAAATGGCCGCCGTAGGAGTAACAAAATAGATAAAAAAATTTAAAATCACTTTTGAACCCAGAATTGATAAAGGTATCTAGGATAAAATTATTATTTATTTTAAAAATGGTCAAGCAACACCTGTTGGATCACTTGATATGGATAGACCCGGTGGACAATTGCATCTAAATTCAGGCATTTTGCTATTTTTTGTTTATCGTTGATGAGTGTGTGTCTCCCCATTAAAATCTTGTGTTGAAAGAAAGATTTGATTTTTACATATATTAGACGAGGGAAAACGTGATAAAAGTGTGCATAGTTCAATCTCTGAGTTCAAAAGATTTAAAAGCACACTCTACAAAATTGTTTCTGTGGTAAGCTCTTCTTTACTATTAAATGTTAGTAGGCCTATGTAATTTAATTAGGCCTAACTTTAAGTCAGTATTGTTTTTATAACAATGTCTGTAAAATATTCTGTTGTAACAAATTCCTATGTGCTGCAGGAAGCCAATATGGGTCCTGTTCTTAACATCTCGAAGGCAGTGGCAACCAAAGCTGTTGATAAAACTAAGTGGGCAGAGGAGATTGACATCAGCACTCCAGTAACTGACTTCAAGCAGAAAGTGCCTAACCCAGCTTTTACTTGGCCTTTTGAACTTGATACTTTCCAGAAGCAGGTCAGTACGAGTGCACTATTAAATATTATATCAACTATTGCCTGGTTTGTAAATAGATTTAATAAGCTTAGTACCGTACTCTAATAAAATGATACAAAGTTTGCATGGTTTAAAACATACTTAATTGAAAGAAAACAGTTCGTAGAGATTGATATTCCTTGAATAATTATAATCAGTTAATCCCTTTCGGTTCACCATTAAGTACCGTTTAGTTTGGAATAAAAACGCTTTTTACTCCCTAGAGAGTAAAAATGCTACTTAAGAACCGCAACGCATGCATTTAAAACGACTGTTTTTGCTGCAGTATGACAAAAATAAATTTCAGCTTGAAATATTTTTTGTTGTTCTGGAACCAAAAATTGTTTTCGGCCTAGAACCGAAACGGAACCAAACCGTAAAAAAATGGAACCGACACATCACTATAAAACACCAGTACCAAAGACTGCACATTACTTTTGTTTTGCTAAATTATTATTACCTATACATATTATTGCTATATGATTATTTAATCAACCAGTTTAAGTTGCAGTTAAATAGTAACCAAAACAGTTTTATAAAATAAAAAACTCAAAATTGTTTGTTGCTAAGGCTCTCAGGTACCGATAGCAGACCTACGTTGCTAAGTCCCTCAGGTAGTATTACAAATAGCACAGTGTTACTTAACAGGTAGCCTCTAACTAATTTTCATCAAGACAATAAACTGATTTATTTATTCAATTTTCTTTTACTGAAGATTAAAAAAAAATTATGGCAGAACAAAAGTTAATTTATTTTCAGTCGGTATTTTACATAATCTTCTCCTTATGTTTAGGCTATATTAAAACTTGAAGAAGGAGAAAACGTGTTTGTGGCTGCTCACACATCAGCTGGTAAAACAGTAGTGGCAGAGTATGCCATTGCCACATCGTTGCGATCAATGCAAAGGTGAGTGGGTTTAACTCATACTAGTGAAAACAAATGTACATTACATTTCAATACAGAATCAATATACTCAAATATTATTCTCCCAATAACAACAAAAATGTATTTTAGTGGTGATTGGTTTAATGTTATAAATAAAATTAAAAACCTCTCAATATCTTGGCATCACCTTAGACTGCACATTGGCTTTTAGGACCCATTCAGAGAAAATTGCTGGAAAGTTGACAACCAGAGCATATTGCAGCCTCAATACTCAGTTCCATGTTCACCAGTACAGGTGAACATGGAATGGTCATGGCCTCGACCATTGCAGGGAAGAGGCAAGGGACTTTAACTCAGGCAATGAGTCATATGTTGACAATTGGTCTTCACAAGCCTTTACAGTTGAAGAAAGGTGAATAGGACTAGATAGCTCTAAAACAACAAGGCTATTGTTCCTGTAAATTGTGTCGGTTACTTCTCAGGTTTTGTAAATTTAACACATGTAATTGGTGTCCAAAAAAGATATTTTTGAATTTGATATGATTAATATTGAAAAAATATGCTAATTAATTTAAATTCTTTATTGAATCAAATTAAAAATTTTAATATGTTAATACTATACTTCCATTTTGTAAAGATCAAGCTCAACTGCAAAATTGTTTTTAGGGCCATCTATACCTCGCCCATCAAAGCTCTGTCGAACCAAAAGTTCCGAGACTTCAAGAAAGTGTTTGAGGAGGAGCACAAGCTAGGAGAGGTTGGTCTGATTACAGGAGACTCACAACTCAACCCCAAGGCTGGATGTCTGATTATGACCACAGAGATCCTCCGCTCTATGTTGTACAAACGCAACGAGGTCATCAATGACTTGTCATATGTCATCTTTGATGAGGTCCACTATATAAATGATAAAGAGGTAGGCACATTACTTACAATGTTTATATTCCGTTTAGATAATGAGAAAAATTAAACACATTCATAAAATTGTTGTGCTTACACAACAGTCTGTGTCTTGAACGGCTTTCTTTGCCAATGTTGAGGCATTTGTTGCGGCACTTGCATTCCTTCCACAAGCTGATGGAATTTCTTATACACTACAATGTTGGATACACAGTGCTGTAGGCCTACCTACTGCAGTAATGCAGAATTTGACATACAATGTTTGTTGTGACAGCGTGGCCATGTGTGGGAGGAGGTTGTGATCTTGCTTCCTGCGACAGTCAGCATTGTGATGCTTAGTGCCACGGTACCCAACACCATGGAGTTTGCCAACTGGGTGGGCTGCACCACCAAGCGCAAGGTGTTTGTTATCAGTACACTCAAGCGACCAGTCCCTCTGCAGCATCACTTGTACACTGGTACTGGTCGTGCCACACGTAACAACTGCTTTCTAATTCGAGACGGTGATGGACCACTTATTTTAGAAGGGTATGTATCTTCATCAGATATCTTTCTTTTACAATAACATTTTTGTGGTAAAATTTATAGGGGTTTATGCAGTTTTTTATGATTTTTTTTTATTTTGACTAACAAATTGAAATAGAGTTGCCCCTTAATAGTCCCACACTTTGTAATCCGATGTACTCGGACACACTGCTAGGTTGGCAGTATTACCTAAACAACCTTATTTCAGTTAACAGAACAAGTTTGTAGGGACCTGAACCTCTTCCCTTCACATCATACACTCATGTCGTTGAAAGAGAAGAAACAGAAGACAATCACTGTTTTTAGCGAATTTCCCTATAGGGAAGTAGCTATTACCGTAGGTCTCATGGTAAGACTTAGGCCCGGGACCGATTTACTTTTTCATTTTAATGTCCCCAGAGGCCAAAAACACCATTCGTTCAAATTTTTATATATGTATATATATACTTTTGTGCCCACCCGGTTTGGCAGTCAGTGCGCTGGTAATTTACTCGGTGTGGCAGTCACCCGCCCGAAAGCCAGTCAGCTCTCCCATAAGCCAGTCAGGTATGGCTTCCCGTGCACTTTATACGTATGAAAACAGCAAACCGGTGCTGCTGCCTGTGTCGATAAGCGTAACTGCAATACCAATGCGGAGACTGTCTCATCGTGTGTTCTATCGTGGAGTAGTGTAGCCAGTACGGCACCCTACCCTACTTTGTAGCGGTAAAACCCAGCGGTCTGTAACCTTCGTTTACTCCTTGTTACTATTTGTGTTGGGATAGTGATTAACTACGTGTTAATGTTTAAACATGTTCATACTCCAAATAAATATGATGCCTCTCTAATAAGGATCGTCGAATATTAATTAATTATAATTGGTTGAATCTTGATCCTACCCGTTCATCATCTCATATTTTAAGTTATTTTGATTTTTTTTACCTTCAGTTGAAATTTTAGTCAACTTCTCCTTTATACAATATTTTTTATCCTAGTATTTACAGTGTTTCAACGGACCGGGAACTATACGGATTTTCTTTATCTCGAGAAATATACGTGAATCTTGTCCGAGATACTGGAACTGTTTTTTACGCAATTGCGTAACGCGAAGGAGTAACTATTACATATGACAACGATATTATTCTATCTGATAAGAATAACCATGAAACTACACTCGAAAGATAAAATATTTTTATAATAATTTTAATTTTACAAACAAACTATTACAGGAATTATATTTTGGGACGGATGAATGATAAAGAAGCAACAAAAAGTGGTCACGAGTGCAAATACGGGGGGGGGGGAGGGGGGTACAATATAACGAACGCCAGAAACGATTATTTGTTTACTTTTCAGATTCCTTATCAAATCTCTCTCTCTCTCTCTCTCTCTCTCTCTCTCTCTCTCTCTCTCTCTAACAATGTACAGATTGTGGACTCTACGATTTAAGTTTTCCTGCAATTATTTCAGTTCAATCCCATACCTAAATAAGTTATAATTTATTTTGTATAATACATCGGTCATTGAATACAAACCATAATGGGTTTTCTATTTGTAACTTTAACTTGCAAATACAGTAGAACCTCGCTTAACTGGAGTCGCATCATCATGATGCCTATATATTATATAACCTCACAAATCCCAAGAAAATGTTTTATTTACTGTGTTTTTCAGTCTAATATTTCGATATGAACGATATATTTAACTATTTACGGTAATTTTTATGTGCAGTAGGTTCCCAATTATTGAAATATTACAGTTCATTTAACAAAAATAAGATGGAAGCAAAACGGAGAAATATCGATCAGTATCGTCAAGGTCAACCTATACGCTCGCACCTACAGACTGACAATCTTGCACTGACACTGACATACTGACAATCGTCTGCTTCTGTCTGCTGTCACAACACTACAATATTTTGTGGTTGGGTCGTTGGGTGATTAGTAACCATGACAACTTGTGGATGTAGAGAAACCAAAGAAAGAATAGAACAAAGAGAAATAATAAGAGGTGTTTTACATCATTTTTATCTTTATCTTATTTTTATCATTGTTATTATTACCAGAAAGACTTAAGTACAGTACTATGATTTTATGGTGTTTTATGAGTTATTTAATATTTTTATCCCCATACTTCTGTTCTGAAACATCATGTAGTAGTAGCCTAGGATGACTACGGTATCAGTAGTCTTCTAGTCTGCATTTTCATTTTGTTTTGTTCTTTACGTGATTTATTGCTGTACAGTAAGCAAGTTTTGTTTTGTTTGAGTAAGCATACGGTGTAGTTTTTATTAGTAAACCAAGGTTAATGACTTAACATATCACGGTTGCGCAATACCTATTGTATTTTGACTATGTAAAATGCAAATTTATAATCACGTTAACGTCCATTTATATAGTGTCCCGGAACGGAATTGTTCCTGAGTAAGAAACATATAAATATCATATTTAAATTATCCAGAAGTCCTTAGTTACTTACACGGGGAAAAAAGTTGTAGGCCTAAATCATTTGAAACCTGTACATTACATATTTTTGGTCGAGTTTTCGACCACTGGACGACCACTAGTTAAAGTTAATTGTATTACAACAATCTTTATAGTAAGCAATATAAGCTTGAATCGGACTTATCTGCCTTCAGCTAATCCATCATATGATAGTACGTTAGAGAGTATGCCCATGCTGAAGTTTTACTTATACTTTAAGAATGACTTAATTTAGTACCAAGAAATAAATCACACCCCTTACATACACTGTGCTGTTTTAATGCTGTGTAGTTGATTGCTACTGTATTAACCTGGGATTAATTATTAATTAATTACCTGTATTAATTCATTCATTAGGAACGTATTTAAAAAAATACTACTTTTATTTATTTATTTTTTTCTATGATTTATTTACAATAACAGAAATGTGTAAGATTAAAATAAATTAATGTGTTGCATTGTCCATTTAAAGTTACATCATAGTAAATTAAAATTCCACTGAAACTTAAACAATAAAAGCCGAAATTAGTTATAAAGAAAACATGAGTTTCCTTTATATTGCTTTTACAATCGAAATATACATACTGAGCCACGGCTCGGTCCCCCGGTACTTTTCATTTTAAATATTCAAATAAAGTCGATTATTTTTAATGTTTTATGAAACGTGACATAGCAAATTTCCACGGAACTTTTTTTGTCGGCTACTACTTTATTTTATTTTTTGGTCAGGTTAGTTTAAAAACAGTGGATTCTGTATACAAAAAGTGAAATGTTCTTAATCATATTTTTTTTATTTTTGGCTTATGTACGTAATTTAAATTGTACGAGAGGGGCTTCCCACCGTGCCGGATTGCGCCGTGCGGGCATATTTTGATCCAGTGGCGGGTGTTGGGTGTTTTGAATAAGAATACTGAATTGCTCGTTTTAAGATCGTATCATTACAAATCCTATCATTTTAAGATTTGCTTACACTTACGAGAAATGCATTTTCCATTTGTACATTTCTCAGGTACAAATTTTATGAAATAACGTACATTATTGCGTTGTTTGACAAGTAGCTGGGGACCGAGCTTTGTTCGGGAAACTTTACACTTTGAGAGTATTCCTTGGTCAATGTAATGCTATCCCAAAAATAATAATTTGCGGTATTTTTTTTCTTGACATTTAACTTCTATTCAAATAATAATATCATAGTTTACTGAAATGATGAGATAGAAGAGTTTTTAAAAATTTTTTTGGTTCCCCTAAATGGCCGAAACTATAGAAATTACCCAGTATTTTTCACGCTGAATTCAAAGAAGGCTATTAGTAGTATGAAAATCTTCCCACCTTCCTTCCTTTGAAGTATTAGTCACTGCAAGAACTTGGACTCGCTCCAAAACCAGAACCGAAACGTTTAATTTACCCTCAATTTTTAAAATGTAATAAGTTACAATTTTCTGGAAACTCAGGACACTTTCTGACTGAAAATAATTACGGTTGATCCTTGTTGGTGAGTACCAAAAAGGAACCTTAGGTATAAACATGGTTGTATATCCAAGTTTGGTTGTCCTTGATATTGCACTATTTCATTGACACTGACAAATTAGGGCTAGGCTGCACTATAAGTTAATTGGGAGTTTATTTGATATCTAGTCCTAAGCTTATAGCCATCTTAAGGCAAACATAACCAAAACCTAACCACAGACATATAAATATAAGTGATATAAATATAAACACTCATCCTCTGTAGGCCTAAAGCGACCTATCTATATTTTTTGGGTTAGGATTAGTACTTTTTTGAGAGAGTGTCATTATGTACTGAGCACACTTAGATGATATAGGGTATCAGTGATTTATGAAATTATTTATTTATAAAAAGCAACCTAACGGAGTTACCTTAATGATGCACCCAGTATTTAATACAAAAATTAAAGCTTATGCCTATGTATATTAGTTTTAAAACGGAGTAGAATAAGGCACCTATAATCTAGATTAGGCATTGATTAGTGTTTATAAACTAAACATGGATGAACCACAAAGTCAAGCTACTAATCCGGTTGTTCAGGCTAGGCTAAACTGAACTCTGAAAGCATCAATCTCAAAACGGCCACAACTTAAGAACAGATCCTAGAATTTGATTTATTTTAAACTTTATTTTTCTGAAATAGATAGCTAAACTGTCCAGTGCAATCATCCCACACTGCAAATAGTAACACTCAAACTTAGTTAGGTAAGCTAGTGGTAGGTTACAACTAATTATTATCCCTGTGACCGATTCAGTGTAACATCTGACATCAGTCAGAATCAGACGACATTATTGACAACGACTCTCGTCGTGTCGTTTCTTTAATTTACGGTATAATATAGTATAAAACATCTACCATATCCATAATAATGTTCTACCACTGCACCTAAACAGCAGAAAAAAGCAAATCACCAAATTCAAATCACCAAGATTCGCACAATATGACAAATTATTTATAAATCAAAAACAGTATATCTTATGTGCCAGTAGTTAATGCGTGATTGAACTTCAAACAAACAAACACACAAACTTTC